CCAAAGTGTGCAATCATTGCCAATCTGTCATCACATGGTTTTTGCTCACTGGGTGTATTACATATATATGTGTATATATATATATATATATATATAAATATTATAAATATTATATATATATATATATATATATATATATATATAAAAGAAGTACATAGAACTTAATATATATAATAAACTCCATTCTGTGAAGAGAGAGAAATTGACATGAAGTGTTGAAAAGCGCACGGAAATCAAAGGATTGATCGTAGAGAAGAGGAAAAGTATCGAAAATTTTATTACAAGATCACAACGCAAATATGTGAAGCATTTTAACGTTTATTTAAAGATAGCATTTATATAATAAATATAAATAGAAGTTAAAGAGGTTTGTGCGATTTATGGTGTACATCGTGATCATCGTGACATATAGACGATAGATCTTCAAATCACAAGTGAGATCGATAAATTATTTCGATGTAAACAAGTTTTTAGTTGTACATGTTACGATAGCTTTTCTACGTAAACACACGGAGTTTTTTTATTCGGCATACAAGAGATTTAAAAAAGATTCAAGTCTGACGTTGTATAAAGCAAATCACGTGAAGCGGTTTATGTAACTTTTAATTAACAAACACCTGTGTGTGTGTGTGTGTGTGTATAGGTGTGTGTATGTGTGTGTGTGTATGTACATCTTTGTGTGAGACAGTGCTGACATAAATAAGTAGAGTTATAAAATAGTAATAGAATGCGATGAAAAAGAATTGTATTTACAGAAAGAGAAAGAGAGAGAGAGAGAAAGAGAAATCCGGTACAAAAATAACACTGTTGCATGGCATTCCCTTCAAGTGTGATTTGCAGATGCAAAAGCGAATACAGACGGTTTGAGAAATCATTAAAAATCTTTTTTTTTTTTTTTTTCGTAAGTTCTCTACTTCACCTCACACACGTTCGTAAGGTTCGATTGATCCACTTGCTGAACGGAGTTGAATTGCACCAGAACGAGTTCGTAAGTCACAATGGTTCCAGCGACCTGTGTAACGAGCACACGAGAAGATGATAAATATGCGAGAAGAAGCAGATTTGTCTCTTTGCATTTTTCACACCGGATTTGTGTTGATAAAATTGCAAATTGTAATTTCATGAATCGTGCTGCGTCTGAAGTGTTTTTTTTTTTTCAACAAAACTACATTTTTTTTACATCAACATCCTTTTTATCTATTGTTGAAATTTTATATTCGTATTTGATTTGCTCTTAAACTGTCGTACTTACTGTCAGCACGAGACCTCTCGTCACGGAAAAGAACTTCATTCCCGTTAGGCTTATGTTGTCCGTCGTTACTTGCGTCAAGAATCTCGAGACCTACGTTACGACACGTGAAGTCGATAATTGAAGAAATAAATCCGATAAAATTACATCATCAAAATACAACTTGGACAATATTTGATGGACAAACCTCGTTACTGTAACTCGAACCGGTAACGCTGTACAGAATCGGTGCCGGCAGACGTGATTCGTCGTGAACGGAAGCCGCGTACAGAGACACCGCTGTGGTCCTCGCCAGCAAAAAACCGAAGGAGAAGCAAAAGTAGATCTTCCGCACGATGCCGCGTATAGGACTGTCGGGAAAAAAGAACATTGCGTGTTTATTCTCCCGCGACTACTTTCGTCACGAGTGTATTTTAAAGCCGCTTTAGATTTCTCGAATAAAAACAAATCGCGCGAGCGAGATCTCGTTCAGTCGCGCGTCGTCCGTACTTGAAGGAAAACAGCAGTTGGATGCAGATAAAGTACAGGTCGATGGCAAAGGACAAAAGCACGATGCTCGAAATATGAGAGTCCACCATACGCGTCAAGGTCGCTAAGTGATTGTAGTCGCTTCTCGCTTCGGCCCACCACCATTCCGGCATCGCCTTTTAACAATAAAACGGGTCTATAAATTCGGTCGGTTCAAAAAAAAAAAAACGAATTTTTAGCATAAGCGAGAAGTTTAAAAGTTCCGTAATAATGTTGCATAATTTACATAAATTTTTTCGAATTAACAAAACGTGTGCGTGACATCATCTTAAATCCAGTTTTTTTTTTCCAAGACAGAAAGCCTATAAAAAATTCTTTTACCTTTCCCCGTATCGCGTAGAGACGACCGTTCAACTGTCTGAACTGGTCCGCCAGAGCTATGCTGATGAGAATGAGAAAGAGATCGACGAAGTTCCACGAGAACGTACTGAGAACGTTTATGATGTCGACTAAAATTCCCTTCCAGAGGCTGTAGCTTATTTTCGTGAAGATCTAAATCGCAAAATCAATAAAATCGATGAACAAATTATCACTCGCGCGTTTAATCCTCGCGAGATCGTGTTATAATTAATAAAAGTTCGATCAATCATATCCGAGGAAACTTACCTGAGGAAACTGCGACGTGAAGTAAGTGTACATAATATCTTTGTCGCCGCGAATCTTCGCGCACTCTATCGCGCTGATGTAACCGGACAGCATGGACGCACCGTGTTCCACTATATACAAAAATACTCAATATAAAAAAAAAAGATGCTTACGCACGCGTATTTGCATTCTTATCTCTCGTTATAGCGCTCACCTAACGCGAACAACATGACAACGGTGGTCACGATCTTGAAGCGAGTCGCGAGGGTGGTCTTGGAAACTCGCCGATGTCTGGAAGTGAATTCCCGTTCGAGTTTCTCCCACGTCAGCGCCAGGCAGGGCCACCGCATCGCCAGTCGCAGAAACAGGATGGCGGTTGTCATGGTCGTGAGGAAGAAGACGAGTGTCGCTGAACAATTCGGGGGGAATCAAGCGTCACACAATTTAGAAGCGATTTCGCTACAAAAACAAACATCGGCGCGAACGTGTCTCCTTCCTCGGATAAGAGCGACTTACTCATTTTGGTGGAATTTATTCCCGTATTAAGCAACCTTATGACATTGTAGATCGTCATCATGCACGCTCCCAGAAAACTGATCGCCGCGTACACAAGTTTCGGACTGCGCCACGTGAACCTGCGGAACGTCCGAACCTCGTACGATATGGCGCACAATAATTCAAACAGACATGCAAGAACGTCGAAACTTGTATACTTTTTTTTAGCTACATTTTGTTAATTCTTGTTTTTTTTTTTTTTTTTTTTTATATTGGAACGTGATGTCGAAAAGAATTCGATAATGTGGTCGAAACGCAAGCTCTTTTCGCGGATGAAGTTCTCCAACACCGGTGTTTATTGGCTGATCCTCGATCAATTCTGTATTATAATTTAGGATTACATAAATATCCATCGCTTCAATATTTCTATGATAACTTACGCGTCGCTTTTAAATCAAACGACCAACATTACGAGTTCTGATCACATACACACACACACACAGTACCGAAGATACGAGGCGTCCGGTTTGCTGATGCCGCACACGGGGAACATGGAGAAGCATTGGGCCAGCACGATGATCGGTCTCATCGACGCGTGCAGACTGTCGGTGGAAGGATCGAAGGTACTCGACGAGGAGATGATCGGTGCCGGCACTAAAATTTCGCAATTATATCAAAGGAAACCGTCGGTCAAGAAATGTTGACATCTTCTTAAAACTTACTTTCGGGCGCCACCAAGTCGGTTTTCATGGCATCGAACCTGCCGTTGCGCAGGTTACTTTTGGGCGATCTGAAAAAGACGACTGTTACACTTGTTGTTTGAACGTTCAGTCGAACAGACACTCAGAATAACACGACACTCTACCGAAATAAAAAGTTTCGAAAATTGATTTAAAAAAAACTTGTACGAATCGATTTGAAAGAAGTTCGAAGAAATTAATTATTTATTTTAATCTCCTCGAGCGCGTACACACACACACGCACGCACGCACGCACACACACACACACACATGTGAGTGGATTTTTCCAGCGTTCCACACAAGAAAAAGTTTTTTTTACAAGTGAACAATTTAGAATTTAATTTCCTCACTCGGTTTGTTTGCACCAGAACGAATCGAGCATGATTTTAATATCTCGTGCGCCGTTGTTTTTAAAAAAAAAAAAAAAAAAAAAAGAAAAGAACGTACAGAGATTTACACCTCGCGCAAGGCGCGTTGTGGCTGACGGTGTGCACGTTACACGATCGCATGTCGGACAGAAGATGGAACTCGTTATTTCTGAGCTTTATCCTGCGGCATCACGGCGGCAGGGTGGAGGGCGCTTTATAAACAACGGAGGGACTCGATAAACGTCCACTTCGAGTTACCGGTGGAAACTCGACGCTCCCGAGGCCTTGTCCTCAAGCGACGACGAGGAACCCTCGCGCGCGTGCACCGATACGGATAAAAAGCAGGTGCCCTCATCGGAACACAAGAAAAATTGACGTCATCGCGCTTTAATGCAAAACACTTAAATCCACCGTATTTATGTTCCTCCTTCTCGCCATCTTTGATTTTCAGTCATTTTCAATCACCTTCGCTCTCTCGTTCTCTTCGAATAAATTAAAAATTAATTAATTTAGTTTCCAAATTAATATTCCAAAAATATCACAACAAAAATCTCTTGTCATCTCTCCTTCGCGAGCTGTGTGATGCGAAATAAATCGCGCGCACAACGCGTATTTGTCTCTCCAGGCAACATCACATTATTAATCTTACGCGCCAATTTTAATATGTTCGTCGTATATGCATAGATGCTACAACAAACAACAGTGAAAATACGCAAAACGTTTAACGCGCAATCGGAAAATATGTCGAGTAATTAGTTTGACGTCATTTTACTCGGAAATCGATTACTTCAGGTTTTGAAATAAAAGGTCGCGTTGACGAGTTTAATTCGAGAGAACCTCGGCACGCAAACCTTCTCGGCACAACAACGCAGGATATAATTTTGCGTCACTTTATATTCTTTGCATTATTATAAAAAAAAAAAAACAATGCGCAAAACAATACACACTGTCTCTTTGTTGAGACTCATAATTAAAAAAAAAAAAAAAATACATCAAAGGGAGAAGTGTATTAACCCCGAACGAGTTTTTTTATCCGTCTATTTGAACAATCGACTGTCGCGCGAACTTGGTTCTTACCTCTAACATAAACACAATGACTCGTCTATTTAGCACGATATTTCGACAAAAATAATAACCGCAAAATTTCAGGGCACGAAACGTCTTTTTACAAGATTGAAAAGACGCGTTCGAGCTCCCGCGAACGGATCCGAAAAAAGTCCGAAAGATGTCCCCGTTTCTAATTTTATTTCAAAGAAATTAAAATTACTTGCCAACCAATCAAAAATTATTTTTACGACACAGCAGCATCTGTCAATTGAAATATTTGTGTGATTTTGAATAAAGTGATACATACATGTACACGCGCGCGCGCGCGAATAAAGATTAATCTCGGTAATTTCAACGCGTTTCGTATTTTGTTACATTTGCGCGATTATTAGCCGAGAATGCTGCTTTATCATTAAATTAAAGTGTTTGCGCGCCTTTGTTGGAGAAGGCGTTTATTTGAGAATCATGTTTGACGAATCGATTGTTATTATACAGAGTGCTCTGTGCAGACCGGGAGGATCGCTCCGTCTCGTTGCTAAATACTTCGCTATTGCTACGTTTTGACAGATAAATACATGTATGTGTGTGTGCGTATGCGCGTGGTAAAATTTATATATTTTCAATTAATTTCGGTAAAAATGTCGCGCAGATTAAAAATCACGCTTGATAATGCGCGTCTTCAAATTGACATAAACATGTTCTGTTTGGCGATACAAGAGATGTAAAATATATATATATATTAGACACTATTAATATTAGAAGACAAAATGTATTATTACGTACTGAACGTTGATCGGGACTGGATGAAAAGATTTCGTCGCAGCAGTCCATCGTGGATAAGGCATCTCAAAGTCGTTGGTTCGTCTGTTCATCGTTACATTACATCACGGTTCTCTTAACGGTAGACATCGCATTCACGATTTCGAATTGTTTTTCCGCATTCTACAGTCATTTTTTGACATAATTATTCAAAAGAAACAAGATTTATTAAAACGTGCACTTTCCTCAAATGAAGTAAATCTAATAAATAAAAAAAAAAAAAACGATTCGAATCGATGATTGAAAACCGACAAAAGAGAAATTTGAAATAAAAACGTAAATAAATTAGAGTAGAATTTGACGAAATTTCGCTTCGACGAAATAAATTTGCCACCGCTCGCAGTTTGTTTAAAAAAAAAAAAAATTGTACCCAAAAAAAATAGTATTTCAATTACTTCGACGACTGAAAATTTAAAGCGCGTCGTGAAGACGCAACGAGTTAGAAGTGCACGAGTTGCAATATATGTAATCGGAGTATAACGCGTAATACTTGAGTATGCGAAAGGTGGGACAATAAAACGCGAGCTGCGAAACAATAATGCGTCGCTTGCCGCGTTTGGATGTGCACTGACAGTCATGGAGAAAGCCTCTCATAACTTATGCGCTTATTCTATCCGCGTCTAATCTTTGCTTGCACAGGCCGAAGAAATAACAGACGCTGTAGCGATTTTCCCCCGGTACCTTCATACGCGATTTGACACATCTGACACGAATCGCATTCATCGTCGGCTTGTAACAAAAGGTACTCAACTTACGCGTTCACGTCACTTGAAAATTTGCATATCCCCTGTGTGTGCGTGTGTGTATGTGGATGTTTGCTGTTTATAACTAATACATGACGCATCACGTGCGACATATATCGCAGTTTCTTTAACGATGTATAAAATTAAAGATTTTGAACAAACACACAATTGAAAATACGCGACTATAAGAAATTTGTATTGCATATATATACTCAGGTGTGTGTACGATTACTCGTACATTATTTATCATTTGTCATTTTGTGAGAATAAGTTGCGTGAGATAAAAAAAAGTCTTGCTCGCTAGATTAAATCTCTTAATTAATGTTTTTTTTTGTTATATATTTGACAATAATTATATTGTCAAATATATAACAAAAAACAATTATATTGTCATTATATTTGACAATAATATTATATTTTTTGTTATATATTTGACAATAATTCTTTCCGTATTTGTGCAAACAAAAATTATACGAATGTACAACCGCGATTGTAATTGCAACGCGGCAACGCTGAGAACACGCGCGTTGACATTTTGATAACAACAACCTGCGACAATAATCCGCCGAGAACGACATCACCTGCCAGCTCTCTCAGGATTAGACGTATGCGCGTGGATAGTGAATTTTTGTGCTTGTTTACTCAACGTTCTAACGAGCTGTTATATATATCAAAATGAGTGCGCGCGTGCATCCATCATAGCTTTCACCCTCGCCTATCAAGAATGCAGCCTGCGTGTGTATAAACGAGACCGATAAGCGACTCGAATGTCGATGCAAATGTCGACCGCGCCGATGTACATACGCGAGATCTCTGAACTAATAATCTGATATCCGGCGAAATCTTGGTCGCAAATACACTCGCGAATTCAATTATCTCTTCGCGTGTGTTGACGCAAAACAGTTATTGAAAAATAAAAAACATTCAAATAAATGACTTCGAACAACAGGAGAATTACCTGTCTTCGACCTTAAATCGGGGTAAAATCGACAATTAAGAAAAACAATCGGACCGATGAATGTCAAGCTTATATGTGCAAAATATTGTTGTAAGTTAAAAACTCACATTGTAATTCGAATTACATTTATAATTCCAAATATATATCGAACGTCTGGTTTGCACCACGTGCGTAGAAATTTCTTTGTGAATTTAATTAAAAACATCTTTGGCTCGGATACGTGATGCGAAGCGTATATGAAAGTTGTGTCGTCGACATATTAAATCGATTGTGATTATAATAAACAAAGTTTCTTTTTGTGCAATTTACCGCGTGATTTCGATTCAGTAATTGTGCGAGATATTTATATGCGAATGAATGAGTGTATCGATAATAATTTCTTTGTCGCCTTTCCGTCATTCTCTCGTGTACGTGTGTGCGTGTGTGTGTACGCGTGTATGTCGTATGCAACGCGTATCCATCTTTGTTTCAAGCTCTCGCGGGCATTTTCCGGAACGGACGACGCACGTGGACACGTCTTCTCTTCTCGACGAGCTATGCAAACGGAATTTTTCCATTGTCCACGCCTGCCAACCGCACTTTACCACCCCGTGTGTGCGCATCACACTATCCGCATCTCCATACTCTGCGGTTCTCTCGCCCGACGCGAATGATCGCGCGCGGCCTACTTTGGTATATATGTATAAAAAAAATTTCTCTTTTTATATTATGCACGCGGAAGTCAATAGAGAATTCGCGTTTTTATCGGCAGTCACCGTTCGAACGAGCGATAACGTCGAGATTGTTTGAAACGCGTTTCCATGACACATCAGACCACATATTACGTGTATTTATTATTTATATTTAAATGTATAATTTAATTACGGGGGTAACAAACAATCCCCATCGGGGGGTCTCGAGTGACTCAAGCACGACCAACGGTAGATCAAACATCAATCTTTACTCAAGTGTACAGCGAATAACTTTAATATTCGAACAACACACGAGTTTTGTTGCAAAATAACGTTTTTTTTTTTTTGTTTTTGGTACGTTAATGGAATTATTGCGGGAAGAGGGAAAATCACACACGCACAAGAACGATTCCAGTCGGAAAAAACACAAAATAAGTACGTACGTACGAATCAAACTTGTATTGTGTTCCCACAGAAGTAGAAGTAACATACATGTTGTTTTCACAGTCGCGCGTGTCGAATCATTGTCCGTCGTCTTCTGTTCTGCGCGCGTGCTAAACGTCTTCGGTGGAGTCGCCGCCGCTCGCGCGCAAAGGCCATGAAGAGAAACGAAGAAGTAAACACCCTCGCTTTTTCGTTATTACAATTTTAACAATGTAATTATCGGCGGCCGTAGTAGTCGCCGCCGGATCGTTTGTTTGCCGCGAAGTTGCGAGGGCGTGATCGCGTTTATCATCGTGTCGGATCGTTTCGAGGGCGTACGTCTATCGTAAACGCAGAATTTATTTATTTGTGTCGAAATGACGACTGCTAACGCGCGCGCGCGCGCAGCTACAAATTGAATCTATTTCAGACTTTGTGTTTATCATCTGACAGACCCATCTACGTCAATGACCCTTATCTCGAAAGCGTAATTACTGTTATTGACTATGAAAAACAGGTACGCATGAAAAAACATACTATGTAGTGTGTATATATATATACATATATCGACAGTTGGAATCCGTGTTGCGAGAAAAACGCCGCGCGAGAGCAAATCAAACGGCGCGCCTCCGGGCGAGGAATCGACCAAAAAAACAAAGGTCTCTCGCGGAATTTGAACGAAACGATCGGTCAGTCGGGCCAATTCCGCGAGAATCTTTGTTGTTTGCGACTGTGTGATGTGAATAGAACTGGACCTTCCGAGCGTCGTGTCAATCAAGTGTGACGCAACACGAATTATTTCTTCGATTAAAGAGATCAATCATCAATTGTCGCTTGTATATCACACACGCGTTTCTTTGTTATATATATATACATATATAATTTTCTTAGCATACGCTTATCAAAAGTTTCAATTCACAATATATATATATATATAGCCAAAATAAAAAGGAGCGATGAATATCGCGAATATCGCCGTTTCCATTTAAGCTCTCAAATTGATTTTTTTTTTTTTTTTTTTTTCAACGCAACACAAAATTCGCGTAGCAGTAAGCTTCTTACACCAATAAGCTTTCTTTCGAAAAACTCGCTTCAGCGAGGAATTAGACCGTTCGAAACATCTTGTCGCGCGAAAAGCGCTATCGAATTTTTTTGTTTCATCGTCAAAATCTCAAATTCGTAGTTTTTTTATTTATATTCGGATGTACGTAAAATGTGGAGATATAGCTGCGAGATAAGAAATGAGGCGTGAGGTGTGTGCGTTAAGAACACAGGCCTACGTAACATCACACGGATATACGCGTAGCAACATACACGTATATGTACAGACTTATCCACACACATGCTAAAACATACCTTTATTAGCTTAATTACCTAATTAATTAATTATTTTTCTCGTGAAAATCCAAGACGAGATCGCGAAACAAACGAAACGTACACGTCGCCCTCAAAAAAAGTTCTATATGTACACGAGTCCGCTATCATATTACAGATACAACTAGACACTATTGTTCGTTTTTTTAATTCCATCTGTGCAAACACAAATTGTTCTTTTTTTGTTTCAGTAGCTAAAAAAACGTCTTAGTAATCCTCGCACGTCGCTACCGCGCGCTGTAACGTTATAACGAGAAGGGATACAATCGTCAGATAATGAGTATTCACAGAGCAAAGTGCGCAAACGTTAATAGAAAAGCACGCCGCGCCGTCGCATCTTGTAATTGAATGTTGCATTAAGAGCTTTCGTAACGGTGTTGCCGCGGTAAAACGGTATAAAAATCGTTACAGCCGTGACTTTAGAATTAATTTTGCTCCGAGTACTGTTCTGTATACGATTTGACCGGTCAATTGTTTGTTAACAATGGGATTCTGGATACGAAGGTGACGTACAAGAAAAATTATCGAGAAAGAGACGAGTTTCAGCGCTCTCTCTTTCTTTCTCTCTCTCTCTCTCTCTCTCTTTCTCTCTTTGTATTAAAAACAATTAAACAATTCTCCGACTAATTCTCCAATTCTCTGACGTTAAAATTTAGTCAACAACAATTTTACAAATATGCGTTTTCACAAAATGTTACAACTCAAATCACAGTTCACCGAATTTAAAACAAAATTTAATATTAAAAACTTTTCAATATAACATTTAGAAACATTCTCTGTTTGTCTCTCTCTCTCTCTCTCTTTCTCTCTCTGTATATTGCACCAATGTCACAGAGTACGCAATAAAATATACATTACGTGTTTCAAGAGCAATGTAGCGCTCTACTATAGGTTATACTACGAATTAATTAATACTTGTGATCACCGATGCGCGTGTACGCGTAATATATATTAATAATAAACACCAACGTTGTTCATTGTTAATACAATCGATACGGTTCTCTTACTGCGCTATACAGGGCGGAACTCGCAAAATGTAACAATACCTACGCAAAGGTTTTTTTTTTAAACTGGTTTAGCGAGTTTGTTTTTTTTTTAGTTTTTTATTTTTTTTTTTTTTATTTTATGGCACGTTTCTTTTCATTGGCTTTTTTTTAGTATAGAAATGTTATATTACATTGTATATTAAACTTGTCGAACTTTTTTTCGTAGTTTTTGTTCTAGCAAAACTAATCTCCCACGCTGATGTTTCTGTTATTCGCGAACGTTGATTCTCTCATTCCGAATAACAAAACTACTATTGATTCCTCTTCGAACGGTGGTTTTGAAAAATTTACTGCAAGAGAGCGAGGAAATGAGATTTGTTCGCACAACACAGTAGTGCATTGGAGAAAAGATTATTATTTATGTTAGTAGAAAAATTACTTAGACGTGTCCAAAATAAATTTGCGCTAAAACTTGTGAATTTGTTCGATTATACAAATTTACGCGCGTTCTTGCATTAAATTTTTCAAATTCACTTTCAAATCTTAAGTCCAAAGTTGGAAAATTCTAAAAATCTCATCTCTAGCAGACAACGAAACCCGAATGTATGCTCGCGGATTCGTTGCTCATGCGCGTCAGTCGAACGTGTTCAAAGAACGTCCAAGAGATTGTGATTTACAAAACGATACTTGTTTCTCTTATCGAGTTCTTGGCGTTATCATCGCTGATGAAGAGGCCGAGTCTCGCGACAATATTTCCCGCAAAGCCCCGCGAACATGTCAGCCATGCTGCTTCGAGGTGCCCGGTATGTTCGGATCCTGCCCGGTGTTTTTTGTATCTGTAACACACACAATAGCAAACAAAGTGAGTTCGATTGGAACGCAATGGGTCTTCGTAAAGTCCGATTTTGTCTCGACACATCGATACAAATCGAATCTTAAATATAAGACTGAACGAATGCCGACCGATGTCTCTTTACGATTATGTAAAAACGATGCGATAGAAAAGCAGAATCGACACCTGTGTGAGTGGACAGTTCCTCAAACCGATCCGACAGATCGGTGAGACCAGTCTCGGAATGCCGGCCGAGGATGTTCGGCAACGCGTTCCGTCTGCCGGTCCTCCCGGTCGACAGAAACTCCTTCGAGCCGTCGCCGTTCTCGTAAGTCCCGCCCGGGCTGACCGGGCCGCTCGTCGTGTTGCTCGCGCTCTTGTCGCACCCGTTCCCGATCTCGTCGGAGCCCATCGGCTCCGCTCGTCTCGGCGTTAACATCCTCAACACTGCAAACAAACGTCAATCTTTTTTTTTTGTCGGCGACCTTTTAAAAACCGACTCGATTTAAAATCCTCGAAAATTTCTGTCATTCGAAATCTCGAACGAGACGGAACGTCGCGTTGTCGGATACGTCGCGATCTAATTTAATAAGTATCTAATTTAACATAATTTCGCGCAAGCCTCTGCTTTAACAATAATAACACAACGCGGGTCTCTTCTCCATTTAATTACATCGTGTGTCATTGTGGTCACATTTCGCGCTTTATATCGCAAGCACACGCGAGATCGATCGCAAGAAAATGAAGCTACACACATTTACACAATATTTGCACAATCTCTCCCACGTGAATTGGTAAATATTTGTTGTTGTACATTTCATCTTAAGAAGATCGATACGGAACGATTGCGTTTTCGCCCCTCGCGGGCGAATTCTCCGCACGAGGTTCTGGAATTGTCGCGCGTTTTCGCATAAACTCTCAGACGATTCGAGAAATGTTCCAACACACACACGTCGATACGGCACGCGAAGATACGACGAGCGACTAATCTAAAAGCATCACGATATAATCTTCTTTCGCTTTGCGTTTCGAAAAATTTTATCAAGTCTTCTCGCGAGAGATTCGTGTGTATTGGAATGTGAATACCCATATCTATGAAATTTCGAAGCTCGTCGCGTCTCGTCTCCGCGATAAGCGCGAAACAATCGCGTTAGCGATGACGATTGTCGATAGCGCAATAAAATTCCTCGCTTCGATAAGAAACGTGTATAATCTCACACGGTTGTTGGAAAACAAAATCCCGAAACTTTTGGATGGAACAGAGTCGTCGATTGCTGATGTGTATTTGCACAGCTGAAAAATCGAGCGTTCGAATTTTAGTTGTGTTTTTGATCACGCATATTTGATGAGAAAATAATCGACACACGTGGGTCGTGATCTCAATTACAAATCTTACTGCAAGATGAGTGAAATAAAAAAAAAGATTAAAAGTTTTTAATTTCAAAATATTGATTTTTTTTTTATCACAAAACGCGATAGAAGCAGTTGCAAACAGTCTGGTTTTGCAGACCATTTTTATTTTGTAATCGTTTTTGCAAAGACATGCGTCAATTGAAAAACCCGTGATTCTTGTGGATTTGATCGATTTTAGATATTTCGATATCGAGCAATGCGTGTCATTAATCGATTAGCGATTTTTTTTCAGTCACGCGCGGGAACGCGAAAAAATACATTTCCTTAAACTGTATAACTGTCATGTCACATCCAACCTTGAATAGATAATACCAGCCGGAAAACAGCGTACGTCAAGGGAATATAAGTGAATACAATACATGTAACAATCGCGGCGAGAGAGAGAGAGAGAAAGATAGAGCGCGCGCGCGATGCTTTATATATTCATTTATGATTCATGCACTCGCACGACGTATCTGTGTGTGATGTACGTGATAAAACTGTTTACACTGTCGAAGCACCAAAAAAAAAAATAAAAAAAAATGAAAAAGAGAAGAGAGAAATTTATGTTAAATATTACAACGAGAGGGAGAAAATATGGAAAGTTTTTAAAACTTGAAAAATAAAATTAATTTTTAACATAAAACTAAACTAAAATTATAAATCTACATTATTATGTAAACAGATACGTCTAAAGATGTTTCTTTTTTCAATTGTAAATATATTATTCAAACACCAATGTTATCACCCACAGAATTCAGAATTCTTCGAATTTGTTTCTCGTTCGCACAAATCAGAAAAGATAAAAAAAAAAAAAAACGTAAGTTAACACTTCCTCTGAGTATTCCCCGCGTAAGAAAAAAACATTTCTAAAGAGATCGAAAATAGATTTTTCAAAGTGTGTTGACGGGTACCTGTACAATATTTCTCTCGCGAAAAAAGACCCGCAGCTATATGTACGCACATGCAAGATGACTACTCTTTTTTCATTCAAATTGTTCCGCAAAATACACATCCTTCCTTTCAAAAACACAAGTGGACAAAAGAAGGAATTATTTTACATAATTCTACGTAAAAAAAGAATATTTTATTTCCCGGAGATCAAATAAGTCGCGCGTTTTTTAAAGAAAATTAAAAAATTTGTAAACATTTAATATTAACTGTTAACATTAACAAATATATTTCATTTAGTGCAAATCGAACACGTAAGTGTCTACCGCGTTGTGAAATAAGAAGAAAACGTGTACATTTTGAAAAAAAAAAAAAAAATTGTTTTCAACGCAAATCTCGATTCGCTTCGGAGTCGCAATATATAAAAGTTATATGCGATCTGCGTCGCACTTGACGGTAATACTTTTCCGGTGAAAAATCTTTTTAAAATAGATATATATATACATACATATATACGCGCACGTGCAAGGATTGCGTATCTATGTACACCCCCGTTGAGTGTTGCATTAGTTGCCGCATAAATTTCTCGTGAAAAGAAAGAAATTCTTTCTGCAGGAAAGAAAGCATCTCGACGATGGAAAAGATATATACATCCTGACGGAAGTTTATCAGAATAAAAAGCAATCTGTTCCTAGAATAAAGAACCGCACACATGGCGTCAACGTCGTCGTCGATATACTTGCGCGTCATTTAGACACCGATGTGTCAAATTAAGATTCGATCAAGGACGGCGGAACTGTCTTTTAGGAATATATAAGGTCTCCGATGCACGCACACACGTCATCAGAAGCGACGATTCAAATTTTTTTTTTCTCACACACAATACGCATCGAAAGGACCGTCGAAAATGTTCGTTCGTCACGCAGAGAATTATCGAACTTGTGTAATTAATCATCTAATCGATCGGTACTTATTAACTTTGGTTTAATTGTCAACATTTTTGTCTGTAGTCACTTTTTTACTTGAAATTTCAAGAGGATAATTGTGGATTTTTTTACGGCAATCTTTTTTTTAAATCCTTTAGCTGGGACTTTAAGCCAAACAATGGGTTTAAAAAGTTCCAATCACTGAGTGTTTTATCTTGTACACATTCCTTGTCGCGATTAATTATTATTTACAAACCAAAGACAACACATCCTGAATGTACATAAATCTACTTTTTATATTATCAGTTTGAATCACGGTTTTTCAATGGACGGTTTTTTTTCGCATTTTTGTAATATTATTTACTAAAAGAAAAAGTCCGCCACATTCGAGCAAACGTGAAAAAAGAAGGCACAAGGTGCCCGCTATTTTTAGTCAGGTCAGGTGGGTGCTTCGTGGATTGTAATGTATATACGTTATATTCACATCGTGACGAGGAGAAGCTAGGCATCATCACTCGAAATAAAGAGAGCCGTTTTATAGGAACTGGCATATCGACCACGACCATTCTTACAATTCGCGTGTGTCACGGTGCGAAGAGACACAAAGAAAAACATTTTTATTACCAACTGACCAAAAAAAGGCGTGCTACTTCCTTCTTAATAAGTTGTTTTTTCGTCGTCTCGCGACGTATCGTGCGTCTCATTACTTCGATGATTACACGCGCGTATTTATTTAGTTATTTACGGAGAAAAAACTTTTTGGTGCAAAAAAATCTAAGAAAAAATTAATCTAAGGTAAAATAACAAAAATCGAGAATGCATACATGTGTGCACGCGAATAACATTTGTAAAAAAAAAAAAAAAAATGAGAACGCTCGTATAAATAATATATTGCGTAAATATATTCGTGGAAATATTCAGTCGAACAATATAATGTCGGTTTCGTCAATATTATCCGACATTGCATTGTGGTCAATAATCGATCTGTAAAAAAACGCCTCTTTGGCGGAGAAGTTTGCGAGCGAAGTGAATTGCGTTTAGGACGCTATAAGTGACTTTATTTTTTAGCAGTTTTTATATCACGACGTAAAGTTGACACTCGCTCGTATTCACGGTTATTCTTCGCGTAACAATATTATTATCTGGGAGATCAAGTCGAAGAGAGTGGGAGAAAATAGACGAAAGCTTCTTGGCTTCGAGCCGTAATGACAGCAATCGACGGGTAGATAATTGCAATCTGTGTCACCGAAATAATCTAGAAAAATGGATATTTTGTTCCTTCTTCCCTTCTCGCGTCTTCTTAGAAATTTTCATCATTATCCGCGTATATAGCGTTATACTCGCGCGTTCTTTAGATGTCTGATCGATACCTCGAGGCGCGAGGGCAAGGAGGAGACAGAGAACGGAGGAAAGTTACTCGAGATAATAAAGGTTCCCCGATCCGGAGGAAAGATGGATTTTTCAAGAGAGCGGACAGCACGGAAAGCAATCATATCAATCTCGGCGTTAACGCGGTTTTCCGAAATAATGAAACTACGCGCAAATCTCGTTTTCGATATTTTAGAGCGCGACACTACGATGGATTTGTTGTTTTCAGGTCTCAAAAAACGCGTCGAAGCATAATTTTTCCGGCGTTAAAATATATACGGTGGTAAAAATGATTGCTAAGTAATTTCTCACTCGAATTTGCAACAAACGAACGCGATAAACTTCGTCGTTTGTCCGTCATTGTGAAAAAAGTTTACCGGGAAATAATTTTTTAAGATAATATTTTATAATTCTAATATCTGAGAGTAAATATCAAAACATATATGTGATATCAGCAGATTTTCTTGATTGATGGTATTTACAATACAAAAATATGTTTGTTCGCACACGATATTCTACGCAGTTGTTATTCGCGCATCCGAAATAAGATAAATTACATACGTACTAATTGCAAATAAAGTTAAATATCGAATCAATGTTGCGTATTATTTGAAAAACAATTTCCTTTTCATGTTCTTACATCATTCTTCTGTTTAGAGAATCACATATGTAAGATTTCCTCATACGCTATGCTTCAAAATAACAACTCGAGAAATCGATAAGTTTCAAATATGCGCGAACACGAGTATCCCAAAAATATCTTAACACACACACACACACACACACGCGCGCGCGTATATAGCTATTCAGTCTTGAAACACTACATATGTTTATGTAATCTCAATACATACTCACGAAATAATCACGCAATCAAGATCAGGAGGAGTTTAGACCTGATCACCTTAAAGCAGAGATCGGAAGGTTTCCTTTGTAATTTTGCAATCACGCGCCGAGACTTGTCTTAAATTGTAACACGTCTCGACAACATGGTGTCATCAATGAGAAAGAAAAAAAAATAATTATCTGAAGTCTAGTTTGTTACACGTAATATAGTTTTTACAAGAACTCTTGCGCGCGCGTTTTTTTTATATATATAATATACTGTTTTTTACATATATAAATTTTTTCTTACTAGATTTAGTAAAAAATATAGTGTCGAATGTGCACCTTGTCTGTCGTCATTTTTAACGCTACCGAACCGAACACTTTTTTAAGGTTATGTGTGAGTCTTTCGTTAAAATAAATAAGAGCAGGTACACATCCGCGGAGTCAAGAAACAGGTCAAAGTCAAAACCGCCAAACTGAATGTCAATTTTAATAGGCGGAGTCAAACATTACGCAAAAAAAAAAACAAAAAAACAAGCAAGATTTTCACTTTTTTAGCTTAAAAAACTTTGGGTCCAATTTTTGTTCATTCTCAGTTGCGTACCTAAAAAAAACAAAAAACAAGTTAAAGGAAATAGCGGGAGAAAAAAGACAGGAAGCCAAAAATAAATTAATACATATTTAATGTAATGTTTATATATATTGCAAAAAAGGAACCGCAGTTTTAAGTAAAAGTTTCTGAAATAAATCTCCATCTTGTGCACATGCATAATTCCATGCATAAAATTTAAATTCAATGGCACTCTTCTTTTTTTTACTTTCAGTCATTCATCGAAAAGTCTGATTACACAACATTGTGATAAATCGTCGAAAATTACCATCCGATATAATAAATTGCGCGATCTCGCAATTGCTTGCTTTTCAAAAGAATTTCCATTTCATTGGAAAAACAATGAATCGTCGCGAGAAATGCATTCATCCATCGTTACGATTTCACGGTGGAATAGAATCGTACTTGTTATGTATTTTGCGCGTTTCGCAACTTCGTGATTTACTTACACGTTTTCGATCGCCGCGCGATTCGCGTTTTCTTCCCACGCGGCTACGAGAGCGCGAGAAGAAAAAAACAACGAGAAGCACGCACTACGAAAAACAAAAAAAAAAAAAAAAATCAAGAGCTCGAGAGGAATTTTTTCGATACGAGGAAGAGAAATTCCACAAGACACAAAAAATCACAAAAAAAATCTAACGACCTCCAAATCCTCGCGATTTGCAATACGCATCACGTCGCTACGTGTACACACATTCAAACACACATCACGCATACGCACACACACACAAACACACGTATCGCGCGTCTGGGGGGTCATGAAGAAGAGACCGCGTGCGAGCGAAGTGAAACGCGTACTCTCGCCGTGACGCGCCGCGTGAATGACGTTGGCGTCGATTCACAGACTCACCATCGGAGAGATGACGTTGTGTTGTCACGGAGTATATGCGTCTCTTCCGTGTGCGTTATCGCGGCGGGACCACAACACTCGGTTGCCGTATTAGAAATACAGTAGGGATTTAATCGCGGCGCGATGTGCCGCCGCCGGTGAGCGCGTATTATATTGTAACGACGCGTTGCCGCCGAGGAGGCGTACGTAAAACGGCGCGACGCGACGCGACGCGACGCAACTCCGATGCGGATGAGCGACGACACGTTTTCGCACGTTGTGTTTGCGCGAAACAGCGTAACGTGTACGTAGCGTAGGTAGGTAGGTAGGTAGATAGGTAGGTATAGGTAGGTTAGGTACAAGTTTCGTTCTCTCTCTTAGACGAATCGATACTTTCACTGGATACTAATACGCTTCTCTCTCGTATCGCCGACAAACAACGAGACGACGACAATGACGACGACGCGCGCGACCTGCACGTGCGAGAGATCGACACGTCGCGCGAAATCGCACCAACACCAAAGTCGCGATTACAAGGACGCCAGACGCGTCGTCGTCGAGGCGCGACGAACGGAGCGAATTGCCCGCGCACCAACTGCTGCGGACCTGTAGTTGAGGAAGGTAATGCTCGACGGCGACGAAGACGGCGACATTGTTTCCCGATTGTCGGCGTCTAACTTTGATCTGCTTTGGTCGGCTGCCAACGGGTCACGGCGCTAGCGGCTGGCCGCCTGCACACGCTTGCCATCTGCAAATCACGAACGTCAACGAAGACGACCGAAGTGCCGCCGCCGACGTACATAAAATATCTCGCGGTGCATTTCGAAGAATAAAAAAATAATACATTGTAGTTGTTTTATACTTATTGCACATCGTTTTTCAAACATGAAATAAATTACACGCAGAGAGAGAACGCGAGATTATATTCTAGTCTCGAATCTCTTTGAATACTTTATTCAATATTTCTTGTTTTTTTTTTTTTTTTTTTTTTTTTTTTTTTTTTTTTTGAAATCGTTTCTAAGTAAAATGTGCGATGCGTTGCGAGAATATTAATTTACCGACTTTAGTCTCGAGTTTTTTTTTTTATTATTCTTGCGAATCGATGGATTTACATCCACCGACGAAGTATGAGAAAGTAACACACGAGAAAGGCCTTTCGCATTTAAAAATCGATCTGAATTTTACTCAAAAAGAAAAACTTAATTTTGAGACGCAAACGGAAATGCAAATTTAAATTTAGTCAAGTTGAGCAAACTGCATGCCACGTGTGGGTTTTATATGCAAAGCGAGTAATCAAGTAATATTGCGCACACACATCGTCGAAGTTCAATACATGTCCGCATTTAAATAAGCGATGCGGCGTATGTTGTCATGCGTTCCGAGGCGCGAGGTATTGCGCTAATCCTATTGATTATTTTTTGCTCGGAAAGTACACGTAGCGTTTTTTTTTTTTTTTTTTTTAAATATGAAGATTTATCGCACTCGCGTAATTTAGCTTCTATAAGCGCTCGTATACAATATGTTGTTCGGTGATTTTTTTAGTATTCGCGCGATGTTTCGCGTGTTGCCATCTAATGCTAACTATAGAAAAACGCAACGAACTTCCCGCGAACAACCCAACACTTTCCCGCCGCCACTTTTGATTCGCGTCTCGTCGCGAGCAAATCGAGTCGAGACAGAGAGACCCCGTTTTTTTTTTTTTCGAATGAGAAGTGATTCCCTATTATATCGTGTCTGCGTGTCTCTATTATTAATTTTTATACAGCGACGACCTCCGTAAAACTGCAAGCACCAAATTTGTGCCGTAAAAAAAGACGAAATTTGTTAAACAAAACCGAAATTTGTTTATAGAAAAAAAGCCACGCGCACACCGTTAAATTTATAAACAAACATATTGACGAGCAGTGTGTGTCTGTGTGTGTGTGTGTGTGTGTGACAAAGTGTATGTACAAATGTAATAAGAAGACTATAAAGAATGCATCTTGCAAACGACGCTCCACTAAGTGTCACCATTACTGCTCACACCTGCCATTAGAAGAACTCTTGATGGAATCAAAGTGCCAGTTTAGCGTCTTAGAAATGTCTTACAGCGGAGTACACTTTGAAACTTATGCAAGATGTTAAGTAAAAGTCAAGTTGGCGAAGCGAGCGAGCTTCGGAAAATAAAATGCTGTTTTGTTTGTTTGTTTGTTTGTTTGTTTCTTTTTTTTGGATGAGAGAAGATGCACAAATTATGAGCACAAAGGACAAATATAAGACAAATATAAGATAAATATAAATTATACACAGGATTATTCCAGGAGACGATGTTTTCTTCTTCTCACAGCGCTGCAAAAAAATGTTTGTTCGCAAATTCGTTCTCTTTTTCTTTATATCTCGTGGAGAATTAATAAATTAATTAAATCAAAACGCAATTTTTATTATACGAGATTTTGGATATTTCATATTGTGTTAAATCGCTCTCTGCAAAAATATACAAATTAGCATTAACTACATCTTCTTTGGGTAAAAGGATAATGAGACGACGTGGCGAATAGTTGAAGCAAAATTTGTTTGTCCTTCAAAATGTCACTTTCACATATTAATCATTTCATACGATTCTGCAATGTCGTTGATGTAAATTAATTGTTAACATGTGTATAATATTGTGCAAAACATTGTCACGGAACGTGTAAACTCTCAGGCGCGCGGAGCGCACGCGTGTCAAGATATAAAATAACGCGCTCTGTTTTTTTTAACAGTTTCACAACACAGAAATCGCGATATATCTAAGTAACTAAAAATTTACTCTGTGATAAATATCGAAATAAATAATCGCACTGCTTTTCCATCGCGTGTCCTTGGATTTTTCTTTGCTTTGAATATAATGAACATTTGTTCAGTTATTCTCACGTACGCGTCAGCAAAATTTCCGTGAGGCTATGGCAATGCAACATTCTTGATGATCATCGTTAAAAAACGAAAGACCATATTCAAGCCGCGCGATCAATATTAATAAATCAAAAACTTATAAAAGTGTTAATTTTCTTGCGTTAAATCAACATTTCAAAATGTGTTAATAAAATTAAAAAACATAAAACTGACAAAAATAATTTGCGTGTCTGTAATATTTGCGCAAAAAAGTGCATAATATTCTTCAGGAGCTAGTTTATTATTATTATGTTTTTGATTGAGAAAATATTAAATATTTATGAGACGCACGTTTCTACAACACGTGTTTCCCAACCTCCGCAAATATCAGCGATATAGACGCTAGTTTTTTTTTTTTTTTTTTTTTTTCAGATTTGAAAGAGTTCTCGTGTTCTACCATGTATGGCTTACATAATGAAGTGATTAGACTGTGATAATAATCAGACTTTTTCAAGGTTGTGTTAATGAAAGTATAGATTATCAGAGACAATAGGGATACGAACTTCAAGGATATCGTTAATTAAACTGACGACTCTTCGAGTAATATATAAGCACTATTTTGCCCGTGAACGCGATCTCGGCGCGACTATAAATCGCGTCTTCAAATCTTTCAAATAACGTTCGCGAGTTAATGCGAGCAAGTTGAATATTAAAAAATTACCCGATTTTCTGTTTTTTTTTCTTTCACACTTATTCTTCTCGTTCAAACGTTTATGTTTCTCATTATCTATTATTTGACACGGTTTCCTTTCGCTCGATCTCAATATCAAAGTTTTTTCTTTAGCAAATAAGACTGAAGCGGATATATAACACACGTAGATTAGGAAAAGAAAGAAAACTAAGTAAGTCAAATTTTTTTCACATCTAACTTGATCGTATATTGGTCCATTGGTCTTCCCCTCCCCTTTCATTTTGCAAAGTTCTTCTCGATATATAAAAGAGTGGGAAAAGACAAAACCGAAGCAGTCGCATCTGGTTTCCACCCCTCTTCTCTTGGCAAGGTAACACAGGTTGAACGTCGTTACGCGATCGTATCCGCGATCATTTGTGAGCCTCACGTTCAAACAGCCGGACAATGCGGAGAACGCGTGACGTTCGTTAGTACAATTATTTTTTTTTTTTTTTTTTTTGTCGTGCGATCGCGTCTCTCGAACAAAAATTATTCCCGGAGCAGTGAGAAAAAACATAAGGATTTTCTGCAGATTTCAATCGAGTTTTTCGAGTGACCGGTAACGCGCGCGCGATTATTTTACATACAACATGATTCGCGACTGATCGTTCCGTTGAGCACAAAAAAAAAATTCAACCGCGCAGTAACGAGAGGAGAATTTTTAGTGCGCAAAAGTTCATCTGTTTTTGCGGTCGGACTTTTGCAGAGGGAAGAAATGAGAACGTTCGTGGTAATATGGGTGACTCTTGGTTTCATTGGTTTATCTTCTACCAAGACGTCGGTGAACATCCTGACGTCCTCGAACAGTGTCGACAAACTCAAGGAGGACGATATATTAAACGTGTTCTCGCACAACAAGAGCGACACGACCAAGAATTTCACCTTCGTTGAGCTTATCAACAAACTCGGCAATTACACGATCGATTCGCAAAAAAATGTATGGAACGACGATCGGCTAAAAACGCACCACACGAATCCGTACTACGGTGAGTTCGGAACGATATTTTCTGCGAATTCCTTCTGTGAAATCTCAATTTTTTATAAAAATAATGACAGCGATAAATAAAACAATGCTCGCAAAGGGAATCTCTCTTTCGTGTTGAAAATCAAAGTTTATATGAATTAAGAAAAAGATAGATCCCGTATCAAATTATTAAATAAAAACAATAACAAACTGTTCGTATATAACATAATGACGGTGATAGTGGAATAGATCAACAACAGAATCACATTTTATAGAAATAATTATATGTTTTAAAAGTAATTTTTTTAAAAGTAAAATTATTTTTTATCAAAGCTGTGTTGAAGTAAGTAATGATTTTCTTCGAATTTACTCGTTTTGGTAAATACACGCACATAAATTATATTCATACTTTTATCCATCTAATTGATGTTGACATCCGTCTTGAATTGCGAAGAGCGATTGTTTTCATGTTAAAAACACTTGATCGCGACGCGAGAGACGTGTTAGAGCTGAAAAAATAAATAAATAATTTTCTTGTGTGCGCGTGTAGTTTTAATCAAACGTGGGAAAAACGAGTAAATAAATTTTACTTTACTTGATGGCGACATCCGGTGCAAGTTTGTGATCATTATGCACGCGCATATCTCCGCGCGACGCGTCGTCTCTGTGAAAACTTTACCTTTTAAACACGTTAATTGCCAGAATCCATTCGCGGTAGATCAAAATTCGCGCGTTGTTTATATATATATTTCCAACTCAGTCAATAATTAACTAAAATCACCATTAACCTTTGATCCACTACGGAATGGAGTAATCAGTAAATATTGCGTTAAGTATTTTCTTCACTTTAGCACTCAACAGCTCTATCAATTATTAATTTTGACAATCGTCGACACATAGGATCGGACTAAATTTTTATTATTAATGCGAATGCTAATTAGCAAAAAATCGAAAAATATAATTCATAAATATAACAAGACTGTCTCTAGACACATTTTTTTTGTATATTGCAAATAGTAATTAGTAAGTTGAAAGAATTGAATGACTTAATGTTTTTTCTCGTTTTTGACGATTGTTTATAAACTCTGATTGGTCAAAAGTGTGCGTCTCTTTCCGCAACAGCAGTTTTTTACAGAAAGAGAAGAGATTTTTGTTTACACGAGAGTGCAAATCAAGCATCTAAAGATATAAATTTTCGAATTATTAACGTGCACTAATTAACATGTTAAGGACATATTGCGCGTGTATATTCAGCGCTTGGTTTTTTCATATCTCGTGCTCATGTTAATTAAATAGCTATGCAGATAATCCTTCTCTCTCAATTTTTAGATCTTTTTGGCATTGGACTTTGATCCTCTCTATGTGTATGATATTTTTTTCTTTTACTTTTAACAACAGCCGCGTTAAAAAAAAATTTACCAAGAATTTCGATATTCGATATTTCAATATTAAACTTTTATCGCGAATTTTTCAATCGAGTAGCGTAATACTTTTCATGCCGTATATATTACGCGCTTCTATCAAGAAACCTTAAAAAACATTAGTATGGAAAACAACATCCTAATGTGACGTCGAAATGTGAAAATAATCGCACTTTGTTCCGGAAAAATATTTATAACGAGGAGCCTGTCACGTGTAATTCGATAATGATGATGATAATGAATTTTACGTCGTTCAAATAGATTTATAATCTTCCACCATTGGTAGAGCAAAACACATTACACTTATGTGTAATGTGTTACTATATATTACATGTAGTAACTCAAAATTGTTATTAATTATTTTTCTCTCTTTCTCTTTCTAATAAACTAATGTGTAGTATTATGTCATACAGTAAAATATTATACAAACTAAATGCGAATTTTGTAACACGCGGATATATTTAATAAAAAGTCGAAGAACAAAAAAAAGAGTAAAATAAAAAAAAATAGCTATATTTTGCGTCGTTTTATGGTCGTTATACAAATAAGGTTTCCATACACAGCGCACAAAAATCCAAAAAAAAAAAAAAAACAAACAACGTCGTAAAAATAGTTAATGACGATGGTTATGTATAAAATAATAAAATAATTTATCAGCGATGGACCGAATAAAAATCAACCACATATATGTTGCTGCGAAGATGAACCTGAATAAATCGCGACGGTGTGTAAGAACGCACTCGGAGATTCAGTTCGTTGTTGCAAGTTTCGACATTGCGTTCGTAAGCGAACTTCCGGCTCAGTTGTAAATTTGATTGCCACACATTTTGAGAATAATGTCGCACAACAATGAAAACTAGGTCGATCGCCATTAAGAAACTCGCACAATAAAGAAGTTCACATCGGGCTCGCAATTTATATAGACAAAATTAATATCATCAATAATGCCATCAATTTGATGATTATTAGATACGTAACAAAATTAAAAAACAAAATAATTACATATAATTTATACATAATTATGTATAATTATGCAAATGATATGTATATATATACATATATAAAGTTGGAGAAAGAACGAAGACGCGCATGTCACGTCATCGACAGAATATTTGAGGTTTTTAATCGATATATTATGTAGGTATGTGTAACTGCAACACACACAGTTGTGTGTGACGCAACTGCAATAAGTAAACAATACAACGTTACCGTTTTTGACACGGTCGTTCATTGTCGTCGTCTGTCTGCGGGTACGCTTCAAAAATCAAATTTATTTTACACACTTGTACTAAAATGTCATGCCGCTATAAAATACATTATTTATCAAAACGTTCAGAAGACGTTCAGAAAACGTTCAGAAACGTTCTTTTCTTTATCTTCTAGAAGAAGATTTTTTTTACCTTTTACTTGCTATCTTAATTGAAAGAGTTTATGGCAAATATTTATAGCAATATAATTTCAGTATCAACAGGTTTCTCAAGAACATTTGAAACTCAAAAGATCAGATTCCAGTTGACCTTCGTGCGTTCCAAGATCATTCGACGAACATCAAACGTTTGTTTTTTTCTTTCATTATTTGACCTTGTTCAAAGTTGTCTCGTTATTTTCTTGTCTTTTAACTTCTCAATTAATTTTCAGTAAGACTTGGTGTACGAGAACAAAGCTTATTTGCATCAAAAGCGAAACGCACACACACACACACAATGGTGTATCTACTTGAAAACCGCAAAAAGAGATTTAGTCAGAAACTTACGTTTATTACGTTTGAAAGCGCACCCGAATGAGGTTAGCGTAAAAAAAAAGACAATAACTAATATTTCTTTTGCAACAGATAGAATACTTCAGATTCTCGAGAGCGCGGTTTAAAAAATTTTAAATAATTACAACAGATCTTTTCGGGAGGAACGTTACATTTCGCGTTACATGAATCCGTGTTACACGCGGGTCACACAAATATGAATTATGTATGCGTTTGGAAACATATTTATAAACAAATCCGTTTCAAGCAAACAAATAACATATGAATCCGTGTTAAACAAACACGCACGGTGAGATTTACGCGTATCATACATAAATGCGCGTGTTTCTCAATTTGAAATTTTTCTAACCCAAATAAATAAACACGTTCTATTGGAATTCATCGAAAACAAATTGTTGTTATTGTCATTCATCAAAGAGAGAGAGAAAGAGAGAGAGAAAGAAAGAAAGAATAAGGAAATCTTCTTCGTTTGCGACACTTTTCTGAAAAACTACTTAGTGCGCGTGTCACGAGCGAACGTGAACATTGCAAAACAGACGTTGACTCATTTTTTTTCTTTTTTTTTTTTTTTTTTTTTTTAAAGCATCGTCAGTGTCTTGCGCGATATCGGCTCGGATTATATACACACATCGGAGTGACATGTTACGTTAAAAAATCTTAATTCTCTCACACAAATTTCAATCTACGTCCTTGTCGCGATCTTTGTCGCGTGTGCGTGATAAAATATATGACAGAACGTGTAACATACGTCACGTATCTTCGATGTACACCGGCTTCCTTTCGCTCGATCTCAATATCGCGCCGGAGTGAAACTGGCATCGATAAAAAGAATTCCCGCGTCCGCACGTGTGTTCGAACACGAGGCACGTAGTCACCTTCAAATCATTCACGTGAATCTTTATGCGATGAGCTAATTCGAAGAAAGAAAATGAAACTTTCACTTTTCCCGTAATTTTTGTGTCTTTAAATTAAATTTATATAAACGCGCACGGCGTTTGATACAGATTTGACGTATGAATATTTATAAAACGCGGAATTTTTTCGCTTCCCTGTTTATTTTCAGACGATTTTTCCGAGATAATCGATCACGAGGCTCGCAGACTCCTTCAAATTCTTCCCGCTTACGATCCCGGCGCGGGAAACGTCAGCGCGGAATGCAAACGACACTCGGATATTTTTCACGCGGAACTCGCCAAGTTCACGCTCTGGGCTCTCAAAAGTAAGTTGATCAACGTCTTTACACAACTGCACAGATTGTATATATATGTAGCAATCACTTGTCAGTCTCGCTTAGAAAACTCCGTTTTTTGAAAGAAGCGCGAAGCCAAATTGCCTCGGATGATTTTTTTTATCGAATTCGCAATTATCAAAATTACTTTGTATTTTAATGCAATCAACCTACGTAAGACGTTGGTTAAAACGCTTTACATAATTTGTACACGAGAACGTTGGGCAATGATTGTCTCTTGATCAACGATGTTGATTGGCACGGAATCAATGTCTTGCATAGCGAGATTTCTCGTTGTTCGAATTGCAAACAAAAAATAAAACATGTCAACTATACGCGTGTTATCTCTTAGTTAATTGTTTGTCTCGCGTTGCTGACCAGCTGAAAGTGATTTGCTTGCATCTTACGTTGCGAGCAACATGTCGCGCCCGGTCTCAATGTCAATCCTTTACGCGTGAGATATAGTAAGTTTTCTTTTTTTTTTCTACGCATTATTTTTTCAATACGCATTAACGCTTCATTAACAAGCGTGGCCGTTTTGATGACACGTTTCGTCATAATTCGTAGATAAGTAAACGTCAGGGTTGTTCTCACGGCCACACCAAAATAGAAAGTTTGTTCGTCCGTGTATCTTTCTTGTAACTTTCGTAATATCGATTAATAACATTTTATTTAGTGTATGACGCAACCGCGAAAATGCCTTCTGGCCTGTTGAATGGTAATGTGAATCAATTTGGCGACTTTGACGAGTGTGTCGGCGTTAGAGGAAAAGATGGGATTCAAGGACAATATTGCCTGGCGACCTTGCAGCTGGACATCGACCACTCCCGGCCTGATCTCAAATACCTGCATCGTCTTCTGCACTCGCACTACTCGTTTCGCAACAACATGACCGATGTGAGTATGTAAGATATTTTTCTTGCATAGCGCGATGCGCGTCGAAGAGCATCGGGCGACGCGATCGATTGATTTTGCAATCAATCATTGCTTATCGCGATTTTATTCCTGTCGTTTCTGTGCGTATACGCCGTGTATATACGTAACGGACGATCGTGCGCTTAGGCACGTAGAATGTTTAAAAGCTCGGTATGAATCACTCGCGCGGTGAATTCAATTGTTGTGTTCACAACCGGGCTTGCTCGCGACTTTAACACGGGGCTGCGACAAACGCACGTGCGTTCTCTCAAATGCACTTTTTGACGTTACGCGCGAGAATATTTTAACAACAACGACAACACGTTTCCGCGGAATACGTAGAGTTAGTTATAGATAATACGACAGAAAAATAGATATATTGTGAGATTTTTTTTTGAATATCTTTGCTGTCGGATGATGAATTTTAGTAGTGATTCACTCGTGGATGTACTGAGTAATTTACTGCGTTACGCGCAGCGTCGCTGACACGTTGATGGCCGATGCGTTACGATGCATTTTTTATCTTAAGAAGAAGAATTTTCAAACATTTTCAAAGTAAAAACTTTAATTACGCACGTACTTCCTCGTATTTCTTAAACTCGAGCTTGTTATCGCACACATTTTACATACACACAAATGTGTGTACGTATAAAATAATTAATACGATAAATATGTATAATATATAAATATGTAATTATTAAAAAAACACGATAATTTTATCACACAAATTTTTACTACACATTTACGTGGATTTTAGAAGATTACGTTAAGAATCTTCGAGATCTAAGTGTCCGAATCTAAGAATCATGAATAAACAGATTGTCGCGCTACACTACTTTGTGCATGTGTATTTTAATTAATTTAAATTCATATATATATATATATATATATATGTACACATTTTCATATTTACATATATGAATTTTAATAAATTAAAATACACATGCATAAATTATTATACATATATACAATTAATTCCAAAACTGTTACGAGACTCTACTGAGTGTGATTAAAATTATTCAGACATTTAAAATTTTAACGATGATGTAATGGATTTTCGTCGTCACATTTAATCTTTATATACAGATCAAGTCCAAGGCGAAATTTTAATTTTGTGTGCGAGACTCAAAATAAAATTTCGGACACATGCGGGTATTAATGACCTATTAGCTATATTACGAAATGTAGATTTAATAAACATGTGTAAAAATCGACTGACTGCGAAATATTTATGTTGAAGATTACTAATAACAAAAAAAAACGTTCGTGAACTTTTAGTTTGCGTAAATAAAATGATATGTAAACTTTTAGTTTATGTAAATAAGATGATAAATGCATTCTTACCGCAGAATATATGAGACGAACATATGAGAGATGAAGTGAATCATCTTGTTAATCTCGCGAGTTTTTGGGACACGCATGTTATAGATAATTTATAAATTATGCGCACATTTAATAAATATACGAATGGAGATAATACACCGGCACGATTGTTTGAAAAGATTAATTATAAATGTTACACTCGCGGTCGTTTTGTAATCGATCATTTTATTTTTGTTAATGTTTCGAGACTTAGCGCATCGATTATGTCTACAGTTGGACACACGATCGAGGTAATTAATCTGTCAAACAAAATTGCTCGTTTCCGCCTCTTTTTGATAAATTATTTGCAAATATACATATGCGATTTATGATACCGCGCTGCTTTATTTTTATTTTTTTTATAATCGAACGTGCTTTCAAAAACATGTTGACTACGTGTATATCGTTAGAATATTCTCGTCGTTGCGCGAAAATCGGTTTGTAAAAAATCGTCAAATATCTCTCGATGAACACAACACGTCGAGTTTCTCGCTGTCTCGTCAGCGAAACAAGTGTCGCGTAGAGATTTTATTTATGTTATATATAAATATTTTTATCGAATTGCTCAAACGAGCAATAATATTCATTTACTAATAAGACATAATCTCTCCATAATCATTTTTTGCACGCGCTTATCTACAAAAAAAAAAAAAAAAAAAAAAAATGTAAACGTGCGCGACATGAATTCTCTGATCATTTCGTCTCCACTTGATCTGCATTATTCATGAATACCTTATTTCTATTTGCGGAATCCGCGCGCAAATTCCAATCGTTTTGCGTGTACGTGTGGCGTTATCGTTTGATAATCACAACGCGCGATTATTATTTTTCACATTACGTAAATTTGATAAAATATTTGCACTCCTTGCTTCATTGTTTGTAGCCGGGTCATAGGGTGCCACGTTTCACCTCCGTTCACTGGGCCGTGTGCGCACCGGCGTCGTGTACAGCTCAAGACGTGACGGCTTCCTTTCAACATGCGATCTCGACGTACACGGCTCAAACCGGCCTGAAGATCAAACTGAACGTAAACGCGGACATGTGCCAGGTGAAGAACGAATTCGTTCCGACAAAAGGTTTCGTTGCTGTTAGGTAACATATAAAAAACTTTGATCTTATTTTCGATTAATTAATTAACGTGGTAATAATTAATTTGTGCGCTATCGTCGTCACGTCTCTTCCAGTCTCTTCTTCGTCGCCATATTCGTCCTGAATCTCACGGCCACGTTCTGCGATCATTACGAAATACCGACGAGCAAGTTGTTATCGTCGTTCTCTCTGAAACGCAACGTTCGGAAGCTCTTCTCGCTGGAGAGACCCAAGAACGACATAGAATCGCTTCACGGTATCCGATTCCTGAACAGCTATCTACTGATCTTAGCTCACAAGAGTCTGGCGGTATTTTTCTTGCCTTACGTCAATCGGACTTACATGAGCGAGGTATACATATATATATATATATATATATATACGCGTGTTTGAACAACCAATTCTCCGAGAAACAAATAATTCAACAAGAAGCTCCAAAAAACCAAACAAAGAACACACGTACAAAAATGCGCGTTGAAAACAAATATCGCTTTTCGCAAATGAGAAATACATTTACAAATTAATAAAATCAATTAAATTAAATTCGAATGATTGTAATTAAAGAATATATAGCGTGTTTTTGATGCAGTCTTTAGGTTCTCGATGGAGCGTCTTAGGAAGAGCGGCTAGTCTTTATACCGATCCGTTCATCATGCTATCAGGTCTGTTAACAACGTACTCGTTTGTAGGAAGATTGACGAGATCCGGTACCCTAGACGTCAAGAACGAATATCTGTCTCGCTTGCTGAGGTACTGACAAAATATATGTATATTCGCGCATCGATTACACAAAAAAAAAAAAAAAAAACAAAACGAAACAAAACAATTCTTTCAATAAACACACACTTGTTTTCAGAATAATGCCAAGTTTGGGAGTATTGATATTGTTTTGCACGTACATAATGCCGCACATCGGATCCGGACCGCTCTGGCCGGTTGTTGTAAATAGGCATGCGAACATTTGCAAACAAACGTGGTGGCGGAATTTCTTGTTTATCCACAATTACTTTGGGTTCGAAAATATGGTAAATGTCGCAGAGAGAGAGAGAGAGAGAGAGAGAGAGAGAGAGAGAGAGAGAGAGAAAATTATCACGCGACAATTTTTCCGAAATATGTAAAAAAAAGTTTGTATCGTTGCTACGAATCATTAAGTTGCCACTTGTCGCGTTCTCTCAGAAACGTAACATTACGAATATTTGATACAAAGATACGTTGGAGTTTTCTCCGCGTCAGAAAATCACCGGATCATCTTTTTTTTTTTTTTGCTTTTAGTGTCTCACGCATACGCATCATGTGGGAATAGACACGCAATTATTCGCGATATCGCCGCTAATGGTATTACTGTTGTACAAAAAACCAAAATTCGGCGCTATCATACTCGGCGCGATAGTCGCGATATCCACGATATTGAGATTTTACGTCACGTATATCAAACGCCTCAACAATTACGTGTACTTCAGCTCGTCGTAAGTATAGAATAAAATTTTGCATTTACAACTTCTACTCTGCGTGTTTAAAGAAAACCGCACGTCTATATGCCCCCAAACAACCCCGCAATTATTTCTTCCTTCTCTCTCTCATCGCAGAATACGACAGTTGTTCGACACCGCCGATTATTCTTACACGCTACCGTCGCACAGACTGACCGTCTACATTATGGGCGTTTTTGTGGGTTATTTGCTCCAGAATATACCCAAGAATTACAAAATGAGCAAAGTGAGTGCGATAATACACTTCGTAAATGAGTACACTCCCGATCGGTAGATTAATCGTCCTTGACGATTTTTTTTTCAGACAACTCTCTATACAGGCTGGACCGTGTCCACCTTGATGTTCTTGATATCCTTTGTCGAGCCGTCCAAGATGGGATGCATCAATTATGTGTACGATCCGTTACACGCGGCCATGTATAACGCGTTCTCTCCAATCCTGTGGTGCAGTTTCTTCATTTGGGTGATAATAACCCAACACACCGGCAACTCGAACGGTAAACCGGATACACATGTAATACAATAATGCAAATTTTATTTTTAATTTTTTTGTTTGTAAAAATGCAATCGATCGTGCGCAATTGTACGTCGCATGTTAATAAACGAACTCTACAGGGTTCCTGATCAGATTCTTCTCGTGGCGAGGATTTCTTTTCACCACTAAGATTAGTTACGCCGTTTACTTAACGCAATTTCCAATATTCTTCTATAGCGTCGGACAAACCCGTACCGCGGGAACTTACGCGTTCTTCTCAACAATGGTGAGCCGTGTATAAATTTATTATCATATACAATAAAATAATAATATAAATATTCATATATAAACGTTTTTCTTTCTAATCTATTTTAATATCTGTTTCTCACAGATAAATCTTCAAGAGGTAGGATGCATTTTTGTGATATCCACAGTTTTCACACTGCTGTTCGAAATGCCATTCCAGAATATGAAATATTTGTTGAAAGCGTCGCAAGATGATACAACGAAAAAGACGTCGAAAGTAGAGTGATGATGATTTTGTTGTCTCGATTCGAGCATAGATACACGTGACTGCGATCAAATGTTTTGGCTCGACCGCGTAACAAAACAAAACTGATCGAGAATTTTGTATATACTTGTTTTTATTACTTTTTAATAAATTAAGATAAGTCAGCGCGTATAGAACAACACACGACATGAATTATTACAGTCAAGATGTAATCAAATGTTCGCAATAAACAGATATTATCTCTCTTTTACACGTAATGCGTAACTCATTTATTTTCGCTTATTTCATGGGTTAATATACTTGTTTATTTTTGCTCATTTCATGTGGGTTACATATACTTGATTCAAAACACATTATATAACTTAATATTAATTATACATCTATATATAATCTCCCTCGCAAGAGAAATGGAGAAGATATTGTATATTATCACAATACAATCTATACATAGATAAAGAAATAAAATTTAAATATAATCTCTATCATATACATGTTTCAAACTCCACAAAAAAAAAACGAATTTTTGTCTTGCCACAATTGTCAAAAAAATTGGCATAACGCTTTCACATTTACTAAATTTAGAAACACTCGATATTTTTAATTTCGCGCGTTGTGTGTGGATTTTCTTGCTGCGCGCGTAAGTCGTCGATCCAAATAGGAGCAGGTTAATTGTAATTATTTCATAAAATAATCACACACTTCGAACATATTCAGCAAATGTGAAAGCATTAACGTCTCTTTACACACGTAACAATAGCAATAGGTATTAAATTTTATCTAACAAAACAAATGCATGTATATATTAATTAATCAAATAGTATTACGTATATAACGTGGCGTTATAGTGGCTCGTAATAACCGTTACCATGTATTTACATTAACTATGTATATCTATAGAAATCACGCTTGTGTCACTGCACACACATCTTCCTTTTTCAAAATTCGAAAACAAATAAAATGAACGTATATAAAAATTATCGCTTTGAATCATTTGAATGTCAAACAAAAACGATACATGTGTAAAAAATAACTTAGAAAAACTCAATTTAAAAAATAAATTTTTTCTATGTATAACATCGAGAATGTGCATTGATGCAAAACATCGCATTGACAATAATATTATATCGTTCGATCCCTCTATAATCGTAATAATAATTATTCACTCAAAAAAGTTCGGTTGACACAGCTGATACACACGTATGCTTTGTAACAGACGGACGTGAGAAAAGAAAAATTAACACTGAGGCTGTTTTTTGTTCTGAAAAATGAGAAAGAACGAAACAACACAATTAAAAGAAAAACTTATGAACGTGTCGATCACATTCGGTAAGTCAGTAATTTTTTAATGCTAAGAGTTTCCAAGCAACCAGTTAAAACTTGAATCATATCGAATATATATATATATATAGAATAGACTACAATTCGTAAGAATATACGTATGCAATTAATCAATACATGTATGTATATATATAATTCCAATACAAATCGCATGTTGTAATCATGCGTTTGTCATCGATTGTCTTATAAACTAGTTTATAAATGCACCAGTGGTACACAGCAGTATTACGTGAATACATGCAACATTTTGCACACAGTATCGAAATAGATATCGAAATGGTATTTCCAACAATTATGTAATCAACCTTATATTGGAGACACATAAATATTTTGCTTTTCATTATAAATCTTCATATACTTTCTTAACACTATATGCAAAGTCAAACTCCTCCTAAGAAAAGCGTTTCTCTAAGAAGACATTCTGCAAGCGACTCTTCTTGAAGAGGCTGTAATAATCGCAACGCAATATACGAACAAGCCAAGTTTCTCCTCGAAGCTCAGGAGAGGGAAACTCGTTCTCCGGTTTGATTTACATTCCGGCTAGAGGAGTTCGATTATATTGTAATTTTATATACGTATGTATATGTATGCTTATTATATATATAGAATTTTAGATCGATACTCGGAATATTTTTCAATGTATTATTATTAACAGAGGCTTCTCTTTCTATACATTGCTGCCCGAAATTTTAATAGCCTTTAATAGAATTATACACATACATACATATATATATATTACATACACACACATATAATTATTAATTACACATTATAATTGCATATGCATATATATTATAAGTGACATTAACAGGACTGACTTTGTATACAGCATATATATAATAGCATATCTGTTAGACTTGTTTAAAATATGAAGCACATTATATGTAATAATATTGAATAAAACGTTAAGTAGCCGAAAAATTCGCCTCTACTACTGATTGATCAACAAACAGTATGTATTAAAATCACATGCAGCATATGGGAAATTAAAAACATAATTAACAGACATATAATTAAACTTAAGGAAGCATCGGGCGTTATTTAAGTGTCTATTTCCTATGTATATATAATATATATATGTATATATATATATACATATAATGTTTATTAATACGCAATATTTCAAATTGCGTTAATTGATGGAAACAGTCGCGTTTTACAATGTTAGATCTTAAGCAGAGAAATGTGTCTGCAACATAAAGTGTTGAAGAAATTACATTTAGAAGTGTGTAAATAATTGTTTATCTCTCTCTTCCGCTTATCGAGGAGTATCGAAAAAAGTACTATTATTAGAACAGTGAGTCATAAATACCTGTTTCACAAAACTGGCGAATTTACTGCTCGCTCGGAGAAAAAGCTTAGGAGAAATCCCTATTTGGGAAAATAGCAGGTGCGATCAGTGACCACACGTAAAGGCTCAAACACATCCACGAGGAGATGATCTTCACCCACATTGAAGCGGCGTTTGCATTCAGCGTATCCAGACTGGAGTTTGGTCTACACAGAAATATGAAACATAGCGTGAGATTTGTGTTGTGACGACAATTTTAATAAATAATTCAGTATTTTTTGACACGTGAGAGATACGTACTTATACCAATTTGTGAGAGTCATCATGACATACAGAGTGGCGAGAGCGAACATAAGATGGAAGAAACTCCAATTGTACGCCACTTTTTCCTCTTCGTTATCCCAGACTTTAGCTTCATTCCCACCTTCTGCGTCGGGATTGCGTCCTTCTACTGTAGTATAATCTGGTTACATTAAATAGAAATAACACGAAAAAGAAAAACGCTACCAAGCTGCAAATAAAAACTGCTAAGCACGCGTTGCCACCTCGTGTGTTTCTAACTTAAATGTAAAAATGGATGTGCGTACAAGTGTCGCGTACAGAGTTTTCACAATGCATGGAGATACGCTACAATAATAAATAAACAAAAAAGTGCGGCAGTTGTATCTTGCGACATTCAAAATGTTTTTTTCTCATTTAGATAATGTTATAAAAAAAAATTATATCGCAAAAAATGCTATTGTAAATATTATGTGACAAATAAACATAGATGGAAGGATAGAGAGGTAATATAACGCATATATAAATAAAGTGCATAATATGAATGGCAAACACACACTAACTACAAAGTAAATTATTTTAAAAAAACAATATCTTTAATTACACATACGTCGTAAATTATATCAATAAATTCTTATATGTGCAAATATGATAAATAATCATAAATGATATAAGGTTTTTATGACACTACACGATCGACTCTACTTGTAGTGTGTGCCTACCTTCATTGTCGATAAGAGACTGCTCGCCTGCATTCCTGACTATAGAAACACATTAATATTTAATTGTAATTAACTTTAACTTTATGAAGCTAAAAAGACAACAACACGGGAAAAATGACAAACAGGAGTTATTGAAACTATTATGTTAAACAGTGTTTCTATATAAATAAAGATTTTTAAAGAACAACAAAACGAAGTACATATTCAAAATCAACAGTTGCCGACACGCGTATGATATATACAATGAGACATTGTTAATATTTACCAGCTCCATTGTCCTGAACCAAAACATTTTCAGACATTGTAATCTTGGACGATTTAGATGCTGTACGCAACGAGCTGTACAAAACGCAGCTAAACCAGATTATAAGACCAATAATGCTTTCTTTATCGAACGAGACACGACTATCAGTTCCGGATATAATAGAGAAGAAACCGGGATTACACTTGCGATCTGTGAAATAGAATACAAAGTAAAACTATGAAACGATGAAGACATTTACATGCGCATGTGTTTTTGTTCTGTTTGTCATTATTTGTGTGTACCTGGGTTGTTTGACACACCGCTCCATGTTAAATATACCACATATAATGTTACTACAGAGGATTGCAAAAGTCCGGATCGCGGTTGATGTTCCTGCACTGTCGGCAGAATTGAGATCACGCTGGTAATAATGCACAAAATTAAATTGAAAGAAATGAAAAACTTGTTGAGTTTACATTCACTTTCCTGCAAATGTGGAAGAAACACATAATTACGACAATTTATAGATCGAATATCTTCGTTTAAAAAGAATAGAAGGAGATTGGTAATCTTACATGTGTATAGTATACATAGAGAAGTACCACTCCGGTAATAGAAACAGCGTAATTGAAGAAAGATGCGCCTAACAGTGCGCCATACCTTTTGAGAATTCGTAAAAGTTAATAAAAATCACAACCAGAAGACGCATTTACATCTAACCATAAAAACAAATTCTTACCATCCTTTTGATTCGGTTTCTTCGTAATTTCCTACCCACGCATCGGCCCAAGAATGGGCAAAATCAACAATCAAGATCAACTGAATAATTATGAAAAGAAATCCTCCTATCATTCCAAAATACATCCAAGTAAATCCAAATGACCTTTCCGGTATAAAGAAAGCACCGATAATCCCACCGATAATCAAAAGATACTTGATTGCCCAAAATCTGAGAATTTTACAAGAGATTGTTAGGTGACAAACCAGTAGGATATTGTACAATATGGTGCGAATAAATTTACCCATTTTGTATAGCTGCACGAGGATCTCGCGAGCTTCTCACTCTGATCATCATTACAGACATCAGGAAAAAGTATAGAGAAAGAATAAAGCAAATTCTATAAACTGCCAAGTAGCCAACAGCAGACTCACAGTCAACGGTATATGTTGATGGAACATAATTAGAACTGTTTGCACAGAACGGAACCTGTTTAAACAAATAATTTAGCACATTAATGTGATTCTTTACTATTTCTAACTCAACAAGATTGTTTCCAATTCAAAATTGTCCCTACCTTTTTGAGTAAATCTTGAAGACCAGGAGCTAAAGTAATGCAAGCGGCGATAGTTCCCAGAAGCAAAAGCAACGCATACATGATGCGAGTGCTTGTGCTGTTTCTGCAGGAGGGACATTGGGAGCAACAGAAACTGCAAGCTGTGCTTCCACACAGACACGCGAGCTATATTGTGTGTAAAACAGATTAATTAGAAACAATAGAATTGTTATTTGTCACTTAATCATTATGTATAAATAATTGGAATAATTTGTATCGAGAGAAAAAAAATTGCACATTCAAACAAAGGATGAGTCAAACACAATGGTTATTTCTGAACACGAAGATATCTTACTTGAGCCGTCGAGCACACGAGACCCATGACGAAACTTTTTTTGTCCTCCTAGCTATTGAAGAAAGACGTTCCGCGGTACGCAACAAAATTTCTAGCAAAATCCTCAGAACAAAAGACGCAAATATCCGCGTTATCCGAAGAAATCTCACTAAATACAATAGATGAATAGATTGATGAATAAGATTACTTATAGCACCAACTTTCTACTTGATCAGCTGACCATGAATGTCACTTGTCATAGGGAAATTTGTTTGGAAATTAAGAAAATGAACGAATAGAAAGAAGCCTGAAATCGACCATTGTAGCAGAGAGAAGACTGAGAGCGGCCATAAGAGAATGTGTAAAAGTTATTTCGCTCTGTAAGCCAGCGCGCAATGTCCATAGGTGGTGCACATTGGCAACCACGTAACCATATCCACGAGCGACTTGTCGGTGCGTGCGCTACGTCCAAATGTGGACATGGTTCTATTCCGCGCTATTTAAAAACGTAACTAAAGTCACGTGACAGGAAAGAGTAGAAAAACAACACGTGAAAATAACGTGACTGTAATTTATATTATATATAACATTAAATAATACATATTATACATATAATTTATTATATATTTATAATATTATACTTTATATTGTATTATATGTATTATATACATACTATAGTAATGTCACTGACCTCGGCCGCGGGGCCTTGGCGGGGGCATTGACCTCGGCCGCGCGGCCTTGGCGGGGTCACTGACCTCGGCCGCGCGGCCTTGGCGAGGTCACTGACCTCGGCCGCGCGGCCTTGGCGGGTCACTGACCTCGGCCGCGCGGCCTTGGTGGGGGGAGGTTACTGACCGCGGGCGCACGGCCTTAGTGGGGGGGGGTCACTGACCTCGGTCGCGTGACTGCGTTGAAGTCACTGACCTCGGTCGCGCGACCGCGGCGGTGTTACTGACTTTGGTCACGTGATTACGGTATATATATATATTCATACATATATGCGTATGTGTGTGTATTATATATAGATATAGAATATTATACATATAATATATATAATATTCTCTTTTTTACTCTTTTCCCTATCACGTAACTTTAGTCACGTGTTGTACCTCGATAATCAAAATATCGACTCGCGCAGCAGAGCGCACATGGCACGGAACAGAACTAAATCAAGAGAAAGATAGTATTTTTTATTCATTGCTAATACGCATGCGCAAGGAAACTTGTTCCTTTTATCCGCTCACTGTGAGAAGAGGTTACACTTGTGCCTGTTGTAAGTCGGATATCTGTTAAATAATTACTAATTATACACATCTTGTAGTTAAAAATATACTAATTATATTTTGCAATTTTATTGTAGCGATATAAAAAATGGAAAACGATTTAGGAACTCTCGTTGACTTGTACATCCCCCGAAAATGGTAAGACACGTGCGCCGAATGTGTAATTTATTATTTTGTCAAAACGATTAAAGTTTCTAAAGACAGAACAGAAATGCGACATTATTCAAATTCGATATTCGATTTTTCAATTAATGGATGTTTAAAATAGCGTGTTTAGTACGTTCAATAAATTGGTATTACATCAACAATGTTAGGTTACAACTCACGTGTGCTATAGATTTCCAGTAGTGGCATCGAGCATCGAATCGCAGCCAATATTTGATTCTTCCGGAATGTGTCATATATTTTTTTTCAGCTACAGTTTTTCTTTACATTTAAGATGGATAAATTTGCAAAACAAACGCAATCTCAAATTATAAAGAAAATAAACAATGTTTAATAAGGGAACATACTTTTTTTTTGTGTTTTCTTTAACAGCTCTGCGAGCAATCGCATCATCCATGCGAAAGATCACGCATCCATACAGCTAACTCTGGCTGATGTAGATCCAGAAACTGGACGTATGACTGATACTCACAAAATGTATGCGATCTGTGGAGCAATTCGTCGTATGGTAAATACAAAGTTATTTTCTTCCTTTGTAAATCAAGTTATTAATAATTATCTCACATTATGTTATGTTTTTCGTAATAAGCTATAATTATATTTTTGTAACAATCAACAATGAATCTCACAATATCTCTTATCTATTCATTGGAATGTTGTTATATATATTTGTACACCAATGTATACAAGATCTATAAATTTTATAACAAAATTCCATGATACAAACAAATTTTTCTTTTTTTTTTAGGGAGAATCTGATGATTGTTTAGTAAGATTAACAAAGAAAGACGGCCTTCTGCCAAAGAACTTTTGAAATGTGACCGGTTTATTTTCAATAAACTTAAAAAAGTAAACCCATATTGTTATTTTTAACTCCTATCTTTCTTAATATTTTGCTTACATAATTTTTCTATAGTGTGTATATATATATATGTTCATTTTTATTGTGTATCGTTTTATACATACAATTACAAATATGAAATATCTTTGTGTGTATTTATGTGTGTGTGTATATGTATATATATACAGATATAATACACATTGATACATGTGACAAGTTTCTTGTAGATGCCATACTGTAATATACTATCAGCGAATCGCACATTTTCGATAAAGCTACATTCACACACAACAGTACATATACTAATTTATATAAAAATAAAAATTATCACTGAAGTTCATGTATATAATCATTTTGCCATGTACAATTGGAAGTGGCTTGTGTTGTTTGCGATCAGTTACATATAATCGATATATCAATTTTATCTTATGTTAAAATCCATTTTTTTTTTTTTTTTTTTTCCAGAGAATAGAGAAAAGTTTACCAGAGTTTTTTTATTGCTCTTAAAACCGTTTTAGGAATTTTGCATACAATTTTTTTAGGCAATAACCGCGTGTAGCGCAGTTTGTGTGACGTGAACGGAACATATCGTTTAAAATCTTTGATCCGCATATCGAACAGGCAATTGCTGTTTGAAAGTGAATCGATCCGATAGTATTTTTTGACTATTTTACACAAGTTTGGAGACACTATTTCTAATTATTATCTCGGAGTTTCCCCTTTTCTTTCGTTACAAGTTAACAAGTTGGATACAGTGTTGCACGAAAAATAACAAATCTTTATATTTTGAGATTTGTTTTACACGTAAAATCAAATCGAAATATTATATTGTTGACAACAACTGTGGTGGTTGTCACTTAATACTGCGTATCTCAAAATAGCAATATGTTATCTCATTTAAATTCGTGTAAAACTTATAATTTACATAAATTTTACACGTTGTTTGAGGTAAACAAAAAAAACTTTTTTGAATGTACGCATGTCTCTTAAAACTTTTTAATACTTTTAAATTCTGAATATTACAAGAATAACAAATATTCTCCGAATATATTAGTTTTTTCTACTTAGAGATAACATATAGCATACTGTTGTGGAGTATTTCGTTCGTAATTCTTCGTCCTGTCTTTACTACAATTGTCATGCATATATGTGTATAATATACGCAAGCGAAGATTTATAAAATTGTCTCAGAATACGTGAATTTTATTTCCTTATTTTTATTCCTTTAGTTAGTTTTTTGTAAACACACTGGCGCGTAACGTTGTTGCAAAATTTCACATGGACGTGCTCTAGCTATAAGCGATCTCTCATAACTTTCATTTCAAGATTTTTTCTTATCTCTCACAGATAAGCACGAACGATGCTTAAGAAATTTATGTATCAATATATTCTCGATAACGTATTTGTAAACAATGAGAGAATAATGCGAAATTAGAGTAAAATAATGAGAACTCAAGCGCGGGAAAAGCTTATTTTAACATATATCCAATATTTGTTACCGTTGCACCTCTCATAGTTGTGTTTCTAAAAAATATACACGACATACGCATGTCCTAGCACACACAAACAATATTCATACCGTTTTTTATTTTCTCCGAAATTTCTCGCGTGTCACATCAATTATTTATTTTGAAAAAATCTCATTATTCTTTATATGAGAAAGAGAGAGTTTGTCATAATATTATTACTAATATATCTCTCATAGCGTGACAGTTGTTCAAATCTTTACATCTCGATTGTTTATCTTTGACTATTGTATATTTACCAGACATGCGGTTTTTTAATATAAAATGTAGGCCGTATGTGTGTGTTTGTGTGTGTATATATATATATATATATATGTATATGTATATATATAATTCATACTTAACATATATCTTATTAGAAAAGTTTTAAAAATATACCTTTGCGTGTATTAATACTCAATATTGTAACAAATCAACTATAATTAACGTTTCTCTCACGCGTAATTATACGTTTCTTCCTTATGTATTGGATAATATATTGGAATATATGAATAATTATAATTCATTTGTCGTGTAAAAGAAGTTAAAAAGCGCTAGAAAGAAACGATACTACAAAAGTTTGTGTAAATTTCGTTTCGAGGAAAAATGTTTATCAAAACATATTAACATAAATTTTTGCTAACGTGAAGTAAATAAATTTGCTATATACTGTTTACGATCGTTACATATTGCACGTATAATGCTACCAATGTGTGTTGAACGTTCAATTCCAAATTAAAATTCATTCCCCACTGATAATGACACATGACTCTCTCAACAAAAACAAAAAATTTTCTGTTCTTCTTTCGTCAATGTATCTAAGCAGAATGCGCATGCAGTTTTTAGAAATCAACGTATTCTTTACACGTTGATTACCGGATGTCATCCGTTCAGAGTCGGAGTGTCTGACAGAGAATGTACTCGATTGAACCTACGGTTCTTCAATGACGCCATAGCTTCCATAAGATCGGTCCGTTTGCTAAAAAAGTCCACTATCGCTTGACCGGTTAAAGCGGACGCCAAAAACTGCTCGACCGTTATCGACCAATCGGGATCAGCGGACGATGCTATGCTCGACGGATTTCCGTTACGATCAGGCGACTGAAAAGCGTCGAATTTATTGTAACGACAAAAGATTCGTGTAACTATTGCCGATTTAATCGAAAATATATATATACCCTGTCGATAACTGATGAGGAAGCTTGTTGAGCTGCGGAAGCAGCTAGGAGTAAACTGTCTTCAGATTCTTCTCTTTCCACATAGAATTTCTTACCAACATCACCTAACTGGAGTAAAAGTGTACCTACGAGTTACGTATTATATTTCGCTTAATCGCGGATTCGTGTAACAAAATTCTTTGGATAAAACGCAAATATCTTACCTACGGAAGCGATGCAGTGATACGTCTCTTGCTCCTCGGGTTGCGCTGGAAACATATCGTAAAGAGTTTTCCAAAGCGCTATAAAGTGTCCCTGCGACATTTTTGGCACGGTTTTGAGATCCAGCGGACTGTCTTTCGAGGCTATCATCGATCGTAAACTGCCCATGCTTTGAATCTCCCACGATTGATCCCCTTGTTGACTGTTTAAGCTTGTTGATCGCGATAATGTGCCTGTTGTCGGTTCTTCCGCGAGACTGATAGGCATTTCTAAGGAAGCTACGCTCTGCTCCATGTTGTCGAAGAAGTCCGTGGCTTCCGCCGCCACCTCAGCTCCATCTAATCAATTCGATAAACTCGATATCATTTTGAAAGTATGTTTTTCATACATATTTATCGGATATTTATACCTGCCGAATGTGTTGGTGACTCAAAATCAGCGGGCGTAAGAAGCGGCGGTAAATGTAACGTGTACAGCAGCTTTAATCTCTGCGTTAAGTCGGCCGTGGCGGTCATTCCTATAGCTTGCACCAATTCTCGGAAGTTCAGCAAGCCGTCGTGATTACGGTCCATCAACTAACAAAATTACATTGCCGTTTGATCAAACTGAAGATCGATCTGCGCAAAGTGAATTCTGAATGGCTGAACTTACACGAAATAATCGCGCGGAAAGAGATTCAGCTTGAGTGCACTTTCCCCATGGGGACAGACCGCCGAACAATATCCTGAACAAATCGAAGTCTACCTTATACGCTTCGTAAGGAGGTTGAGTCGGATCGTAACGATCGGGTTCAGATTTCCGTTGACTCATTAACTCCTCTCTCACTAAACTCAACAATTCCTGCGTGTGTATAGCGCAATTAAAATATTTATATAATTATGTGATTTTTTTTTATTTATATGCGATTATTTTGCATCACCTGCAATTCCTCCGTCTTCATGTATTTGTCGGAAATAACGCTTCTAATTACGTTCTTTTCTATCCCATCTTCGAGACTTTGAACCACCCTAAGTCTATGCTTCAGGCGCAATCTTTCTATCCAGCCGATTGTCAAGGATCCATATCTCGAATACGCTTCGTAGATTAGTGTTTGAACCGATATACTCTACAATTGTACAAGATATAAAATTTCTTAATTAAAAAAACCATTTTATCATCTTTTTTTTACTTAATCTCAATGTATATAATATTGCTCGTAAAAATTTAGAATATGTAAAAAATATTCTTGCCCTGTTGGGTGATGCGCTATCAACTGGTCGAGGGAATATTGGACCTTCATCGTTATAAACTCCACCAAGATAGTCAGTTAACAGTTGCATGGCTTCACCGTCATCACGACAATTCAGCAACTTATCTTGATTCCATTCCAACACGGTCAATGCTATCTGAGATAACAAGAGAGAGCTGTTTTATTGTTATTCATTATTTTTGTTAAAATTTCTTTGGCAAGATATGTGAACAGTTACAGGACACACTTAGGTTATCGCCCTTAATTTTCCCCACCTGGAAGATGACTTTTGCTCCATCAAAGAAGAAACAATCCATAATATTCACGGCGCTACTAGTTGGCATAACGCTCAGAAATATAGTTAGAAACCAAGACAACGAGATAACTTTAATTAAACCGAGCTCCTGTAACTTGGCGTGTAAAATTGGTAAATGTTCGGCGGCTAATTCTTCTAGAAGACCCTGATCGACGAGAGCACCGACCACTCGCCGATCATAATAATCAGGCAACAACGATTCGCAAACATTGCACAATTGCCAGAACGCCGACTCCTCGGAACAGTAGATCAGTAACACCGAGGCTACTATGTTCATCGCCTGGCAATAACCTGTGACATTTATTTTCTAATTACACAAAATGCAGATTTTATACGGATTTAAGAGAAACGGAAAACCATCGTGTTTACCGATCTGAGGATTTCGGCACGCGTAAGCGGAAAGCACTCTTCGCAGCGCGCTGATTCCGGTATCGGACTGAAAGGCCGGATGTTCTGGTAACGATCTATGTAAATCCCTTTCGATCTCCTCGTTAGCTTGACACGATTTGCCGAGGGATTGCTCGACTAGTGATTTGTACATATCTGGATTCATTGCCTTTTCGTTCAAAGCACCTATATATGTAAAGATAATACGCACACACTCTATACAGTACATATATGTAAAGAGTTCAAGAATCTATTTTATACATATTTTTGAATTATTTACCAGAAAAGGTGAGCCAGACTTCTCCTCTGAGAGTCTGTGGAATTCCCTGAATAACGAGCTTCGCCGTTTCCGTGGTTCTGTACATTGTAATACCTCTCCCGTACTCTGCGAAATGAAGTTCCCATTGCTTCTCTTTAGCTTCCTGCTTTAACGCGGCTTCGGCGGACAGTGGAATTTTAAAAAGTATCATCAACGGCGGCTGAGGTTTCCACTGTTCCGTGGGCTTCGCTTCCTCGCAGTTGCTAATGTTGCTGCTTGTGGAATTCGGGGACACGTTAGATCTATATCACACACATTTAAGAAACTTTACAATTTTCGCATCGTCGCGCATCTTCATCTTACATTCGTAAGATTTTACTTCAGAAAATATCGCTCTAGAATAAGGTATGTACAAACGTACATGTAGTTAAGCTTGGACTTTGCCAGAAGCTCCGAGATTTTTTGCACCACGAAATCACGATCGTGTATTTGAGCAAACAGAAACGACGAACGTGATGTTGTGACCAGTATCGATTTATCCGTTCCTGTGCTGGATTGATTTTCGGCTGACTCGACGAGCGTCACTTCCCTCAGAGGTATAACCAAACTCACTTGTCTTCTTACCTATACAAAAAACAAACAATAAAAAAAGTAAAACTTATGCAATCGTTTTACATTTAATATCTTATCTTTCAAGGAAGATATTTACTCTGCTTTCGAAACAAAGATAATTTTGCGACAGATATATCTTTCCCCAGACATATCTTTTGTTGTACGGAGTCCACAAGGTCGCGTCAATGCTACCGTCTAGTTTCTCAATTCCTGGCAATCGAAACTGAAGCCTGTACGCTTCTGAATGTGCTCGCGCATCCAGATCTCGCTTCAAGAAGGATGGTTTCTTAGGCACATTTTTGCTGCATCAAAAATTCAAATGTTTAGTTTTGTTGGAGTTTGTTTAAAAAAAAAAACAGCATTGTAATTACACGCGTCAAACAATCAAAATTGTACCTTAATTTATTTAACAAGTCTCTATCCTCATTGAATCCACTTTTTTCATCAATAAGCCTGAGGAAAATAAAAAACTATATTAATCAAATATAAAAAAAAAAATGTAGTTTTGCGCACAGATAATTTATTTAAATTTAATTTTCCATATACTTTTGAAGCGAAATATATACCTTTTCATAGCAATATTGATTAGTTGTTCCATTAACGAATACGTTTCTGATTTGTGTAAAAACATAGAAAAATAATGCTGGAAGAGAAAAACAAAACAGTGAGTAATGAGAATCAATCGATTGTCATATGAAACACATCGCACCGCACAACAATATATGCACAAAAAAAAATATATATATATATATATATACCTCTTTATTGTCACGCGTTACAACACGTATACTATCTGGAACTATGAGGGAATTAGTTTTGCTCAATTCGGTAATGTCTGTCCATCTTACGGTGAGTTTTGTTTCTCTTGCTAATATGTATGCGTAAAAGCACATGTGGTTTACGGACAAATAAAGCCATCCTTGTCTAGGTAATCGAGATTTCCAATAACTAAAGAGAGAAAATATTTTTTTTTTTTTTATCTATTATTTACCATATAATTTTAAGACTATATTGTTTACTTAAAATTCAAAGATACCTGCATGAATAATAATTGACCAGTTTGTCCTCTTTCGGTATATTGAACAACTGATGAAACTTAAAAGACACAGTTTTGAAAGATTCCGGATCTTCTTCTGAAAAAAACAAAAAGAAAAACCAACTCAATAATATTCAATTTATAACATCCGCAATTGTTCTTACACTTTAAGTAACGATGATTCTCTACCGTCTGCGAACTGAGAATCCGGAATGCTATTTGCTATTATAGACTGAACTTTGCAGCAAACGAATTCCGTTATTTCCTCCTCGGTGTCGAATGACGTTAGTGTTGTCATCAAATTCGAGTGGAGCCATTCCCAGTCCTGCAAGATCTCCTCACGAGTCAACGAACACGCCACTTCTGTGAAGATCCAACAAAAAGAAAATGTGTTGAAAGAAAACATTCTTCAATAAAAAAAAAAAAGAAGAGATTCAACATTTATATATAAATTTTGTATTATACCCCAATAAACTTCCGACGAGGGTGTCTGATGAAGAATTCTGAAAGGTGGCGGTTTGGTGTCAAAGACGCTATCAAGCGTGCCCACCAGAATAGATGTAAGACCTTTGGCTTTCCCGTGTCCTTTCCGACGTTGTAAAACAAAATATACAGTCGCCTGCTCTGTGATCCTGCGTGTGCAAAACAAATAGAATAAATGTTACAATATATATATATATATATGCTGGTCATTGCGAAAAACGCATCATCACAAGTGATGCTTCGCACTTCGGAGAATTTATTCAAACCACGCCACGGGTAATATTTTTCGCAACGACTATTTAAAGAAGAGAGCCAAAGAGATTGGGAATTTTTACACACACATTCGCAAATTAAAACTTAAAATTTATATCAAAAAAAAAATTATATATATATTTGAGTTTATACATATGCTTTTTTATCTTTACGTTTATGTATGTTTTTATCTTTATGTTTACGAAGTATAATAATTATACATCAAAAACTTGACGTAGATAAAATTCTTAAGACTCAAAAGCTGTTATCTCTTTTAAAAAATTATTGTGTACGTGTGTGTATTCAATAAAATGTCAGACAAATTGCACGAATGAAAAGAGCGCACACACCGATTGCGGCGGTCTATCCTTGATGTGTGCGGTAACTATATAACGTAATAAACTACTGATTTCGACACATCATCATTGTGCCGCTTATCGAACATTGCTGTATGTGGATACTCGCACGACGATCCGCAAACAACACGTTTTACGCCGACACGTTTTATCACCATTATATGTATATCTCTTACGCATTAAAAAAAAAAAAAAAATGCGGTCGTAATGATTTCATTACGACCGCTTTTTTTCCCGCAACACAAAAATTCGCTCGTTTCAATCGCGAACGCGCAATTAAAGCGCGGCGATAAAACAAAGCTGATAACATTCGCGGCGAAAAACTTTGGTCGTTGCGAACGAAACTTCTACGTCAGCTGTCTTTGACAGAATGTAAACATTTCGATGCGACGTCAGTTCAGAGGATGCTTTTTAAACGGAGCGGTGGCGATTGTCGTCGTCGCGCGAAGTCGTCGGAACGAAGTGCGATGATCGTCGAATTGAAGCGGAGGCAAAATGGTATAATCGACATCTCTCCCCGGTCACACCCGGTTGATAATTAAGACAAGACAAAGGTGCGTGCGGTCGCGATATTATAAATTGTTATTTCTTTACCAGAACGCGTTGGCGAGCAACACCTCCTGTGGCTTCACCCACATATCGACCACCGTTGTCTGTCTTTGCGACGCTACATATGGCACTGGCGAGACGAGACACCGCGACACTCGATCCGAACCGGTCGTAAAAATCAACGACAGCGTCCGTTTCGGCGACAACGGAGCGACAAAAAAAAAATGCAACAAACACCGACCACGGGAACAACAAGGGGCGATTCTCCGTGTTCGCGCGACTGTTGTTGTCGCACCTCGTCAGCTGCGCGCTCTCCCTAGTCCCTATCCACTGATTGGAATTTTGTTAAGCCGCGAACACACGAAGAAAGAACTTAAACTCACTGAGCAAAATCGACCAATCAACATCCTCCTCTCGGATGTAAGCTACGTTCGAACGAACGGCGGCCTGTAATTGACCATTCACGTTGTTTGTCAAATCAGTCCATCGACTTACGTGATTGGTCAATTCTGCGAGATCGGCGGCCTGTGATCTGCGTCTGCGTCTTAAGAGCCGTCTACAACGGAGAGTTGTAGGCCGTAATAGTAAGAAATTGACCAATCACAAAGTACAGAAGAATAATCGATTGTGATTTGTCAATTTCTTACTGTTACAGTCTAAAACTCTCTATTGTAGACGACCCTTTATAGTTCGGCGGACAGCGTTTTCCTCCTGTCCAATCAGAAGCGATTGTAACGTCACGTGTTTGCGACTCTCCCCTGAGGGCGATGTCCCATTGAGCGGAAATCTATAGCGGAACCAGCTCGACCAATCGTAACCACAGAATAAGCGAAGGAAAGAAAACGGAATGGCTATGATTGGTCGAGCTGGTTCCGCACATTCCGTTCCGCTATAGATTTCCGCTCAATGGGACATCGCCCTGAGAAGGCTCCTTTCTAAAGGCCTATCTACATAAAGACGCCAGCAGGAGTCGCGGAATTGACTATTCACGTTTGTCAAATCAGCCAATCGACTAATGATGATTGATCAATCATCTTCGAGATTTACGACCCTGTGGTCTGCGTCTGCGGTTTGTGTAAAATGGTCTTAATTCACACCAAGCGAGAGGAGCAACGTATGTATATGTAAAAAGAGGTTATGTAAGATCTAAATGTAGATTCCTATTGTTTCAACGGAGCTTCTCGTCGTGCCTCTCAAGAATCCTAGCCAAGTTTGAAATAAACCGCGCAAATTTTCTCTACATTTGTTTTACCGCAAATTGGAGAAGAAATAAAAAAGAAAAAAAAAAAAACAACTAACGCAAGTGGCAATCTACAACTCCAAATTAATGTGGTATAATAACATAATTAATGTATTTATGTAAATGAGTCTATTATAATGCTACACAATTGAATGTCAAGATGCGTTGTATTCTTGTTCTCTCTCTCACACACACATACTCACTCACTCTCTCTTCGATCTTACGTAACACTTCCAAAAAAACACGTGCGCTTATAGAGAGCAATCGATGTAATTTCACTTTCGTTAATTTGTTTTTTTTTTTAAATTTGACAATCGACACAATTATAAATTTGTCGTATGTGTTTCGCAGTGTTGCGACCGATTGAGGGTGTAATTCTCGTGTTCGACGAGAAGAAACAAATCCCGGTTTTAGAAACATCTGTTCCTTGCCGTGGCAATGCGTACCGCACGGCTATGCTCTAACGGCACGTCACGGTGTGCGTCTCAGGCGCACGTGTGTGTGTGTGTGTATATATATATATATATGTATGTATATAAACACACTTGTGAGATGAATGATATTGATCTCAATTGTAGATTAAAAGTGTTTATCGGTATAAAAAAAAAAAAAAAAAAGAGTAGACGCGTCACGCGCGTATTTTCGTCGCCGACGTTGAGCAAAAATAAATATTCGCGACTATCAAATATTGCGAGAAATATCAGCGCCATTAGAGGAGATACGCGGATGCCGTTATTCGCGTATCGTGGCGCGTCGTTAAGCACAGTCGTCGGTCAGGGTTCAGGTAATAACATTTGTGTTCTCCTTCTCTCGAAGTTGGTCAGTCGCGTTTCGATGACGACACGTCTGTGAGCACGACCGTATATATCGCTAATCTTGTCCGGAGTGAGTAACACACCTTCGAGACGCGTGCTTCGCCGCGGAACGTCGAATAAAAGTGGGAAGCGAAGATACAGCGAGATCATTCAATAGGAGAGACAAGAGAGACACGCATCCCTTGCGAGAAGAGAAAAGACTTTCATTGTCATCGAAGGGCCGTTCATCAAGTCGTTATCAGGATGAGCTATCTGAAGTCGATCGGCACAGCCGTCATCTACGTCGGTCTGTTCCTGGCCGTGATCACGTTCATGCCGGGTTTGCCGCCGGAGACGGACTTTCAGGAATACAGGTATTCACGATCGCATAAATCAAATAATTACACAAATTGTACAAATTATGCGTGGTAATTAAAAATTCATATACAATTCAGATTCACAAATCATACGTCGTTAACATCCGTTATATGCGAACTTTGATATTTTTCCTTCCATAAATTATCGACTTGTTTACAGCTTCGTGTCGCCGCGCGATCTCGATTCCAAGTTGGGTCCGAAAAATCTCACCGGCATTGAAAAGTTGTTTGAGAATAAAATTTTTGGACCGGAGGACTTTGCCTCGTACAACGGTCAGATTTACACCGGTGTTCACGGCGGTTACGTTATGAGAATTGAGGAAAATCACCTCGTACCCGTTGTCAAGTTCGGAAAGCATTGCGGTAAGTTTGTTATTATTATGCACGCAGCGATCTGTGTACGTACATGCGTATGTTATAATCTCATACATATGTGATATTACTGTATATCGGTCATAATCAAACGATTACTAAATCATGACTTATTCCACACACACTCTGTAGCATATTTCTCAATCTATTTATTTCCTGTTCCAGTTTTTTTTTAGATATCATTAAATTAAAATTACATTCTTAGTAATGTATTAGCTTGGATATTGCTAGAATATTTGCATCTCGTACAAATGAATTATCCACTTACTCCTCTCTCGAAAAATAAAATGTAAAACAATCTCAATGCGAAAAAGACACTTTGGTCTTCGCAATTCGACAAATTTTATACTTTTTTTTTGTTTTTTATTATAGTTTTACAATTTTTTCCTGTTTTTATTTAAATCAAAAAATAAAATTTTATAGCCGAATTTGCCAAATCGAAAACGTAAAATAAGTACACGTGACTATGACGTAAAGTCCTTGATTTCAGTATTTCAATTTATACATATTAATGAGACCATGAAAAATTTATCAATATATATGCATGGACTAAAAGAATACAATAACAAAAACAAGAACAATATTTCTATTTTATGCGAAACAGAAGAAATGAAATAAAATAAGACAGGCCGATCAAACCTGTATTTTTTTTTAGAAAACTTCTTTCAGTTTATGCACAGAAAATAGATATGTATCTACGCATATGTGTGTGTATGTACATAAAATTGTGCGTATGTAACTGACTATGTTAGTTATAACTAATGTTGTTTGTTTTACTTATATATTTGCTAGTACATTAGATAATACACTATTAAATTATGGTTAAAATAAAAGTTATTTAAAATTCACAGCTGGTATTTGGCAAGAGCAGATATGTGGCAGGCCGTTAGGAATGAGATTTGATAAAAAGGGCAATTTGTATGTGGTGGATACGTATTATGGGATTTTCAAAGTAGACATTGCAACCAGAAAGTACAAAAACATAGTGAATATCTCTAAGCCTATTGATGGAAAAGTTCCAAAACTACCTAATAGTTTAGATATTGCAGATAATGGAGATTTTTATTGGACTGATAGCAGCACAGATGTTCAAATTAATGATTTAGTATTGGCAATGTTGTTAAATCCAACGGGAAGGTAAAGAAATGCTTAAAAATTAAGTCTTAGGTGTGTGTGTGTGTGCAATCATGTATAAATATGCAAAAACTATTTCATTTGCAGGCTTATACATTATAATGCGGCTAAACAAGAAAACAAAGTGTTAATGAAAGACCTTGGATTTGCAAATGGAGTTGTGTTGAGCGATGACGAAAGTTACGTGCTCGTAGCGGAGACAATGAAAAGTCGTATCGTGAAGTACAATTTGAAAGGACCAAAAGCAGGAAAGCAAGAGATTTTCATCGAAGGTTTGCCAGGTGTACCAGACAATCTTGTGAGTGACGGGCATGGTGGCATCCTCGTCACTATGATACTTACTATCGACTCTGAACATCCTAATCTCTGTCAGTCTCTCGCGCCACATCCGTATTTAAGAAAAATGTTTGTACGATTGCTCTTGGCGATGAGATTACCGTTTAAACTGTTGCACGACATCTACCCGAATACGTACACAGAAAAAGTCATACATGCAATAGGATCGTTCCAAGGCATTGGAAAGCTAGTTACTCCGACATATGTATCTTTGGTGTTGAGAATAGACGCGTCTGGTAAAATTATAGAAGCTGTCTCCTCCGTAGATGACGGTATAAGCTCGGTTCATTTACACAAAGATTATTTGTGGTTCGGCTCTCCGTGGCAATCTTTTCTCCTTAGAGTCCCGGTAAAACAGGTATTTCCTAGTCTAGCTTCTCAGACAAGAAGCGAGAAACAGTCACAGAAACAGTCGACCACTAGTTCGAACAACAAGTCAGAAAAAGTCAAGAGAGACACAGCTTCTACAACAACAAAGCCAATCGAATCGAAAAAAACCTCTTCTCAGACAACGCCGAAACCGACGGCCGCTCCGACAACAACACCCAAACCAACCGCTGCTCCAACCACAACCAAACCACCACCGACAACAACACCCAAGCCAACAACAGCTACGCCAAAACCATCCCCTAAGGTTGATAAACCTACTACTGACAGCGAGAACGTAAAGCCGGAAACTAAATCCGTTAATAACGATGCCAAAAAGAGTAATGCGAAGAAAGTTGACAACGTGAATGCACAGAAATCGCAACCCGAGAAAGTTGAACACAAAAAAACAACTCGTCCGAGAGATGACCTCTAATGAAAAAAGAGTAATTTATTAATATTATATTGTGATATTATTAACACACTTGTTGAATGAATACACTCCAGTTTTACACATCACATTTTCAATGACGAATGGGTTAAAGGTAATATATACATATATAGAATGTCGATTTCTCAGAGATGTTAGTCATGTCGTTAATACTATATTTAAATCTTGCACAATCAGTTATGTAGAGTGGCCTATTGTTTTTAGCACAATTGGAATGAAATTCTCCGTTAACTTTGTATAACGTGATTCCAAATTTATTATTTCTTCATGTAGCAAATCATGTTTTCCGATTACATTACTAGTAGTAACAAATTGAATACTACTTAAATTATCTGTTATAGTGAATAATGAAAAACGCAACAATACTCATTGATAGAGAGAGAGAAATCTACCTTTTATTTTAAATTAAAGATTAAAATAAGGCTGAGAAAATATTTAGAGAGAAATATATATATATTAGTTGCCATGAATGTGAGTGCTATGTGAGTCGTGTGCATATATGTATATATAAACACAAAGTGAAAATTATTGATTTTGAAAATTTTATTACGTGTTTTCCATTGATAATATATATGTATGCAACTTTTCACATTTTTGTATGTACATATATATACATGCTATTTGTATTTTGAACTTTTGTTTTTACAACATGAAAGAGAAAACTACTTTTTTTTTTTTTTTGTTATTTACGAATTATATGTGAGATTATATAAGTTTTAAATGATAACCGATAAGAAAACCTAATAATCGATCAAGCATTTTGACGAGTATATTAAAATGCATATATAATTTGTTTTTTTGAACTTTGATTCTTTTGCATTTCTGTTTGTGCAGTAATGACATTTCACTGAGTTGATACCGACGCTTATTTTTTTTTTTTATATATATATATAAGTTTTTGTCCGCGATTGCGGAAGAATATTCATAAATAATGTATGTTTTTAAGTTTGTGAATAAATATAAGAAAAACCTCCATTCCATGAATACAGTCTAAATAAAATATAGAAACTTCTTAAATAAAATAAAAAATATACATATATATATATATATATGTTGTGTTTTGTGAATCTTATGATAACTTTGTTAAATATATGATCAGACACGAGAAATGTGAAATAGTTATAAGAAGTTGTATAATTCGGCTTTTAAATAAAAATTACCTTTTTAAATAGTTCACTTTGTTCATTTTGTCATTTGCGTGAATATTCAACATTTAGCGCGCCACATTTAGCATTAATATGTTTTGAAGAGTTTTCACGTGGTAAAGAATCTGAAAAAAAATTCTTTTTCATTTTTTTGAGAGGTATATGAGAGGTATACTTTGAGAGTTCGTATGTATTCAAATATATTTGCATTTATTAAAACTCTAAGTACAGACGAAAACAATCTTCTTTCGTAAAATGGCGAACTATCAAAAACTGTATTTATAATTTAAAAAAATATACATATTTAGAGAATTTTGTTAATATTCTTACAGATTAATGCGTCTTTGTACATAGGTAGGTAAAAGCGCATTTATTTTGTCTATCACGAACATTTGTATTTTCCACAGGACGGTTGGTTGTTTGACAAAATGCCAATATCCGTTTCTTCTACGTGCAGCCCACTTTTGCGCACTCGCTAAAGACTTGTTATACGCTAGTAATTGTTTGTCATTTAGCTTTGCACTAGGCTGACTCACGGTACCTAAACCTAATCTGACTAGTTCTTCTCCAAGTTTTAGCGTATCCTGTTTGTGCAGAAATGATCACAGTGAAAAACACGTGACGTCTTATCGTGTCAACAATAAAAAAAAACAGCAAGTCCTATTTCTCTCTCACTTGATTTTTCTGTCGCACCGAAACCATGCACTCCAAATACTCGTTCTCCTTGGCTATGGGCACAAACGTTATACTCTTTCCATTGACTATGTACTGTAACCAACTTACACCTAGAAAGTTGATGTGTTGACAGTGTACACATTATAGAGTCGCAGATATACATTGTGGTCCTCGAAAAGCTAATAGAACGTAGCGTCGCATACTACTTTGTTACTTACCGTTACTCGTGACGTTAATGCCGCTGATTTTTACAGGTAAGTAACTTTTATTGCTAAAGTGAAAAAAAGGCAGTAAGGGTCGATGATCGACCATCAGTAGAACACCACCGCTCGGTTCCACACGCATTACAGTGCCTTGGAGTGGAACTCGCGACTGCAGGAAATGAAGTGGGACATTGGACGGTTTCGTGAACTTCGCAAACTGAACGTGGTGTAATAAAATGAGAGATAAAAATCATAAGTTTTGTGCGAGAAAAAATAGTGTGACACACGGTAATAGTTACAGAGATCAGACTGAAGGAAGAATTCGCTTGATGTTATAAACTCACCGGTCTGATTCTGTGCAGAGCAACGAATAAACCCGCGCCGGCGATTCCGTAAGTGATCATCTGAAAGAGGAAATGTGAATGCGAACGACGAAACAAGGCAAAACACACGTATCACAAATCGCACACGTTAGGGGAATTGTAAAACTGTCGCGTACCTTACCGGGTCCCGTTTCGTCCTCCATCAACATTTGAAAACGTTCGAAAATCGTAGGTGCTTCTTCGCGCGTCATGATTAACTCGATTCTATTCGGGACAATCGCTCGTGTGCTCCACAATGAGAGATCGGGTTCGAAAACACTCGCGCGCATCAATCGCTCGACTGTATTTTAACCGCTGTGTCTAAGAACTAAGAGAGAGAAAGATAGAGAGAGAGAGAGAGAGATCACAAATGTTATCTTAACCTGAGAGAACTCGTGAAACATAAAAAAAAAAAATACATATTTTATAAAATCAAAATTAAAAAGTTACGCGAGTGAGTGTTCGAAACTTTCACGTGCAAATTTAATCAATCGTGTTTATTTTCGACGAAAAAAAAACAAAACGAAAATTTGATCATTACGTATTGCATGAGGAATCTCTCACGTGACAACACTCTGGTGAACCATTCCAGCGAGATCGAGATGGTTCAAATCTCAACTGAGAAGAGTGGGGTTCGGATCTCAGCTAAACTTACGTTTTACACAATAACATATGTATTTTATTTATAAATTTTCGTATCGCATCAAGGACGTGATCGATATCTCGTGTGCGTATGCACTGCGGAGCAACGAAGCGGGGAGTAAAGAACACACACTCTTTCCCTTCTACGTCGATTTCGGTGAGTAACCAGCGGTTGAAAAAAAAAAAAAAACGTCGCTTAGAAAGAAAAACGTTCTCTTCGCGCGAAACCGTATTCGTTGGCGAGTAACCGTGTCACGTGTGACATTAAAATTTTTTTTTTTTCTAATTTTTTCCAAGCCAGGAAGACAGGAATGTACACACACGATCGACGAGTTAGATCGAAGTCCGTGCGAAAAAAATCTTCAAACTTTCCGCGCGCGTATCCGATTGAAAAAAAAAAAAACAATCTTTGCTTGCACCTGTAGGTAACGGCGCTTGTTCCAGAGTGGGGCGTAATCGTATCATTTTTTTTAACGCGTTCGATATCTCTATCTCTTCTAACAAAGTGTCGCGATCTCGTTGAAAGAAAAAATCCTGATCGATTTCACGCGCGAGGAACAACCTGGATTGCGCGTCGCAATCTTTAATGCGATGAGAGACGGTGATTCGATGCACGATCCTATTTCTCTTCGTCGGCGAAGACGTGCGTCGCGGGCAAGACCGTCGCGCGCGCGACGTCAGCACGTCTGGACGGGGCTCGCGTTAACGACGGAGCGACGGAAACGGGCCTCGTCGTCCCGCCGCATCTCTTCCCCGTGGACGTGTCGAACGCGAACATGTTCCGAGACGGCCACTATTTAGAAGTGATCAAGGTACCCCCGCGTGCAACAGCTGTCAACAGCTGATTGTCAGGCGTGTGCTTGCTTGTGTGTGTGTGTGTGAGTGCATGCGCGCGCGCGCGCGCGCTCGCTCGCTCGTCACGAAAGAGCATCTGTGAGGAATCAGGCTGCTTTATCTCGCGAATCTCCGAATGTTGTTTCTTCGCACGTGTATAATTTTATGTAAAATTAGAGGAAAAATATAAATTACATTTATATTCGACACGACGAGCGTTTAATTTTGTTCGATCGATTTCGAACTTACGTCAGCATATGCTTGTGTGTTCGCGCAGGCCGCGGACGACTGTCTGGCGACCGCGGTGGTCACTGTGCAAGAGAAAACGGTCGAGATCAAGAATCGTAAGGTTATCACCAACAAGTGGTTAAAAATCGAGGACTGGGCCGCGCTCTACAAGATATTGGAAAGAGCGATTCTGCGTAACGGCCGGGATGACGGATCCTCGCTACGCAAGGATCGAGGACGCGAGTGGCGCAAGTCCACTCGCCAGTTGGAAGTCACGTAATATCAAAAATCAATTTGTAACACACACACACACACACACACGTGTCTTATCTCGCACACATTTAATTTGAATATTTTATTAGTTTTTTGTTCACATGTAAAAATAACAATTATTTTATATGTAGTTATATAAATTGTTTTTGTGTAGGTAACAATTTTATAACACATAAAAAAGAATTATATTGTATCGTATGTTTAGATAACGTTAATCTAAGATAAAAAAATAATATTAATTTTTGTAAGATCGCGAATTTCCCGTTCCGCATTAATAATTTTGGAATTTGTGACAACAGATACACCTTCGAGCACTCGGAATCCACGAGCGGCGCGACGTTCCTGCCGACCATCAAGGTGAACGTGTCGTCGGCTCGGAAAAAATCGACGGTGAAACGAGAAACGAACGAAGACGAGAAGAGAAGCAAGACGGAGACCGAAGACGAGACGAAAAATCGAACGAAGGAAAAATCTTCCGATCGAACGACCGACGCTAAAAGCGATCGATCGAAGAAAACACCGACGAAAACGAAATATTCGCCTACCAAGATCGAAACCGCACCGCCGCGCGACAATACCTCCTCGACGACGGCGCGAGACGATTTCAGAAAAAAAAGGATCAAGAAATACAAACTCTCCGAGGATCTGGAGAACGCGTCGTTGGAGGAATACATTCCGGACGCGCCTAAGGCGAAGAGATCGTGTCTGGACTTCAAGTACGTGCCCAGTCGGAAGAGCGCGCTCGAGGGCATGCGATCGACGTCGAACGAGTACACGCCGACTCTGTGCGACAGTAGCAAACACGTGGCGCAGAACGTAAACTACGTGCCGAACTCGATTGAGAAACTGGAGGCGGTTTACGAGACTTACGAGCCGTGCGCCACCACGTTGATTCCCGACGCCGTTCTGGAGGAGTACGTGCCCAATTCAAAGGGAGTCAAGTCTGCCGTGGAAGAGTACGAGCCCGACTTCAAGTCGCCGTGCAAACTGACGTTCGACGATAGTTACGTGCCGTCGAGCGTGCAGAAGAAGAAAACGACGAACGACTCGAGGAAAACAAAACCGGGCGGCAAGTCGGAGAAGCTGAAGAGGCCGGAGCGCCGAAAAGAGACGCTGAAAAGAAAGATGAGTCTTTTCTCGTGAGAGTTTTTTATCTCTCGTCGCGAAATTAACAATTGATATTTGTAAAAAATATTTATTTTCTAATGCGTGTTTTATAGAGCGTGTGGGTACGAAGGTTCTATATGTATGTACTTATATTATATAGTGATATAAACATCTGTACAATAAAAAAAAAAAAAAAAAAAAAAAGAACGCTTATTCTTCCTTAAATATACGCATATTATAGTTACAATGTGAATGTTGCTTACAATATGTACATCACAATGATTAACTCTTGGAGTAAAAATAAAACTACTACTCTTAGAGTGAGCGGATGTATCCGCTCGGCAAAACCTGTGATAATAATTGGGACTTGTAGGATTGGAGTCAAGAAATTAAAAATTATAAAAGCTCAATACGTTGGTCAATCAATAGTTTTTTGGGCAATCAATAGTTCGAGACCGAATAGAAAGTTTCGACCTCAAACTCTTGTGTTTTTGTTACTTTTAAATAAGTACCGGCCGTACGAAGCGCTCAGCTGCCCTTCGTATATTTTGTAAAGAACAAAACGGGTAGAGATACTTGTTCAAAACAGGGGTGGATTTTGTTTTTTTCCGAATCGACACGCCTCTCAACAATATCAGTCTTCGCGGATTTTATTCAGCTTCGTTGTCTTCGGCTTCGCTCGGAGGATCTTCGACCAAATTCTTTATTGGCTCGTACTGTTTGTTGTTCTCCGCGGTTTTCTCTTTGGATTCTTCCGTCTCGACTTTTTGCTTCTTTCGTTCCGGTTCTTCCTCATTGTTCTCTTCTTCCTTGTCGTCAGCATCGTCGTCGGCGTTATCTTTGGATTCGTCTGTTTCGTCAACTTTCTTTTGTTCCGATTCTTGATTAATTTCCTCCTCCTCGTCGTCGGTATCATCGTCGGCTCCCGGATGAACCGGGATCTTGTGCGTCGGACTGCCTGTTGTTTGCATCGTTCCCGGTTTCTGCCACATCTTGTGCGATCCCTGAAAACAAAGAGAAGATCAAAAACACACGTCGAAGAAACAAACAAAAATTCAAATCTATACACTAGAGTTCTTCTGTAAGAAAGAAATTACCTTCATTCCGCTGACTTTGGACATGTAATAATCGTAAACGAACTTGGCCATGTGCGGCATGTCCTCGATCTCCATCGGCATTGTCGAAGGAACGGCGTCGTTCGGCCGATCGGTGGGATAGAGTTCCTGCGGCAGTAACTGCAGCTTCAACGTTCTCTGCATCAGCTGATCGAACGCCGGCGTTAACTCGAAGCAGTTTTTGAAGAGAGACACGCGGGCAAAGACGTAGAGACCGAGACGGGCGCGCGACATCGCCACCACCAGACGTCTGGCGTCTCTCAGGTGACCGACCGCGCGCGTCTTCACCAGTGACAGCAAGATGTAATCGTTCTGCTGGCCTTGATACTTGTCGACAGTCGTAACCTTGTTCGGACGGCCTATGAGAGGATTGTTCGCGCATCGGATGTTTATCACGTCTCGTATCAGATGCTTCTGACCGTTGTACGTGGTTAAAATACTGATCTTATCCGCAGGATATCCCAGCAGACGCATGTACATGAACACCGCGACGCAGTATTCCGCCTCGGCGAGATTCTGGTAAAAGTAAGCGCTGGGCTCGCTCTCTCCGACGCCATTGAAGTCTTCGACGTTGACCAGTTGGAAATCGTACAGGAAGCCAGCGTTCGCCACCAGATACTCGGGGCTACGCTCCACGTGCGCCAAATTCCCCAGCTTCTTGTAGCGCCAGTTGTAGAGATTGCAAATGCTGGGTCGGGCGCGACCCTGGCCGTCGAGATCGACCGTGGGCACGCCCAATCGCACGAATCTCGCGAACAACGACTGTTCCATGTTCGAATACTTTTGAAAGGCCATGTTCTTGATGACAGGCGGCAACTGATGATGATCTCCTATCATTATCCAACGTTTCAGGCGATTGTATCCGTCCTGGGGATTCTGCAGCAACAACGGTATGAAAGTCTCGATCTCCAGAATCTGCGCGGACTCTTCCATGAGAATGTTGTCGTACTTGAAACCCATATCAACGAGTTCGCGTCGTTTGAGCGCCGCGTGCGTACAGGTCATAGCGATCACCTTGGCCTCTTTCACGAGCAAGTACTTCGACCTGTCGAGACCCGATCGGAGCAATTCGAATGCGCGAAACTCTTCCAACTGGGTGAATATCCTTTCGATGTATCTGCGATAGATGACACAATTTGTTGTTGCAGAATCAATCTGTTTTCATCTCAAAACATTCGCATTTATCTAACACTTTTTATTCTTACCTGAAGCAACTGCACGCTATTTTAAGGTCTTCTTCGTACGAATTTCGTTTGAAAAGCGGCTGCGGAGCGTTATCGAAGAATTTGTGGAACGGAAACTCCTCGTCGACTATGGAACACAAGTCGGACTTCTCGCTCGTGTGTTGCCTCTGCTTCACTCTGGTCTCAAAGCGGTCCCATCTTGTGGATACTTGATACATGAAAAAATATCCCGCCGTTTCGCACGTGTACGCGACATCGCCTTTCACATTCAGAGATTCCTGAAGACAGAAAGAATATATATATATATATATTGCAACACCAACCGAACGTGTTGTGCATCAAATTGGAACAGCCTGAAAAAAAAAAAACAAATATTACCTGCAACCTCTGAACTTCCATAAGCAGATCCAAACGTTTGGCGAGAACGTAATTGACCCTGCCGTAACGACTGAAATCTTTCTCGGTCTCCAGAGCTTCCTCACCGTGACCGAGACGCAGCAGATGCCGTTCGTCGATGTCCAGAGCCATTATCTTTTCGAACAGCTGGTTGAGCGCTTGATTGGAGTGCGTGACAATCAGCGTTCTCTGATTGGGAAAATTGTGATACAGATTCGAGATGATCTGCACGGCAACGTCCGTTTTGCCGGTACCGGGTGGACCGACGACCAGCGTTAAACCAGGCTGCATCCCGGCGCGTATAGCTTCGACTTGCGTCGGCGTGAAGGGAATTTGATTTCTGCAACGTAAACACATAGATTGTTCAAAAAAAAAAAAAAAAACAAACAAACACACGCAATGCGCGATATAAAAATGTCATAAAAACAAATGCTAACTTTTTCGGTTCGTTCGCTCTGTATGGACCTCTACTGGGCGGTATGTGCGGTTTAACTCTGATGAGTTTCTTGACGGGCTCGTCGTTGTGTTTCGCAAGTACGTCCTCGAAAGTTAACAGAAACGGCCGCACGAGATTTCCCTCATCCTCGCGATCCGTCTTGATCTCGTACTGAGGAAAACTGGCTCGCAGATGGTCTATATCGAGGAACGTGTCGTTGAAATCCATCGTCGCAATTTCATCCGACATTCTGTGTGTGTCGCACATCGAGTCAGTTTCGAACGATCAAACGGGCGCGTCTTGATTGTAAATTATACAGAGATACGTATATGTATAGAAAGATAAATAAATTACCTGGAATAACACGCCGCTCCGGGATCGCCGTATCCCAAGATTATATCGTGCAGCCAGTCAGGCACGACGCATTCAGTATTCATGAGTTCCCTTATGGTTTCTAATACCGCCTTGAAGTTGTTCTCCTTAGGTTTACGTCTCATTATAATATTAAATCCCTCGTACACATCTTCGCCGCCGTGGCTGGCGTTGTCCATATCGATTCGGTATTGATTGCAGTCGAGCCAGACTCTATAGGTTCGCGAATCGCCCGGTAAAATCGGCCTCGGCTCAGGACCGTCCTCTATCACCCTGCCGTTGGAGTCGAGCATGCCCTCGACCTCGCACCCCCGCACCGTCGTCAGACCCACTTGGGGCACAAAAGGGAGCTTGTGACTGTACTTCGTGCCTGCAACAGCGCAACAAAAATCTACGTCATTTAATTTTATTACTTGTGCATGCGACAAAATCGTGCCGTTTGTTTGCCGCGGAAGAAGTGACTTTTTGCGCTAGCTTGTTTGAACTGTTTTGTTCCTTTACCGATGGGATTCGGCGGCTTGACGGTGATGAGAAAGCACACGTCGTGCTTGCGAAGATTCTCCCATTCGGATTTGATCTCCTTGCGAACGCTGAGATTTATCGTGACGTCGGCGCGAACCCTCGACGGTCTGTTCTCGCCGACATTGGGTTTGGCCACCTCGACCACGGCGAATTGCGTGATGGGCTGAGCCATCCTAGCCCAACCGCCGAAATAAACACCGCCGTCCTCCGCTTGCCTGCAAAAAAAAAAAAAAAAAACACTTCGATGATCGAGACGAAAGAAAAAGAATAAAAATTACAACGATCGACAAATGAAAAAGAGAAAGCGAATTAAGTAAATACGACGTATTTATCAAACGTACCAAGGACTGAGTCTGCTCACTGCATCCTCGATGTCCTGCCGTATTTCGTCTGTGAACAACCGAAATTTATGCACGTTAAACAATTAATTCCAGCTAATCGAAATGGACGTGAATGTCAAATGGGACATTTAATTTTTTTGTTTTTGTTTTTTTATTACGCACACGTCGACTCCAAGCGAAAGAGATTAAAGTTGCGCAGCAAATAATCGTGCAACGTGAGAAACTGCAGATTGAGTTTCGGCAGAGCGAGACAACCTTCGCCGGAAAAATACTCGGTCGGGACGATGCTCTCGTTCCAGATTATCTCCTCGGTCGGATACAAAGGCATCTCATTCAGCTCCTCGAGCTGCGACGGCCTACGCTCGTGTCGCGATATCTGAAATTAAATTAACAAATAAATCCCGCGGCCTCAATTTCGGAAGCTAAATCCGTCGCGCGCGACGTCTCTTTTCGTCGTCGCTCGCGACACTCACCAACAATTCGCGCAGAAACTCGATGTCCAAGCGGTACCAATTTTCCTCGTGTTCCCGTTCCTTCGGCGGAACCAGATTCAAATAGCTCGCGATAGATCGCAGCTTCTCCTGACTGAAAATCAAAATCCAACATCATCGTCACTCGCATCATCGTCGACACGTTTTTTTGCGCGAACAATCGGCGCGCGAAGAAAATTATAAAATAAATATACTCACCTGAGCGAGCCGAAGTGCTTGTACAGAGCGTCTCTGACGTCGACGCTGGCCACGTTCGCCAACGCGAAGCTCCTCAAGTCCGGGAATTTGGCGAAAACCGCGTTCTAAAGCGAAGATTTGACATTTAAAAACAACGCAAATAATTTGTACATTTGTATATGAAAGAACGTGCGTGTTGACGATACATTCCTTCATTAATGAGTCGACCGATTGATTAGTAATCTACTGAAAATTCAGATTTCATCGTGAATAATTCAACGAAGACCGGTTTGCTAAAACCGACATGACGCGCGAGCGAAACATCATCACGGTCGTGAAAACAAAAAATAACAACGGCGTTACGTTTAAAACGTAATCACGCAAAGATGAAAAGTCTCATCTCTCTCGTGAAATTAACGAAAAAAAAAAAAATTGTTTCAAACGGTTCCGAGTATTTCGATGTGATTTCAATATCGCGCGTCAATAAAAAAAAAAAAAAAAAAAAATCACGCGCGTTTTCTCGTATACCTGAAGCGATGTGATTTTCGCGTAATGCAACTGAGTCATGTCGTGATCCGTCAGAGGGTTGCCGGTCTCCTCGCTGATCTCGAAACGGGCGTAAAACTTGAGCATTTCCAGAAGCTGCAATCAGAAAAGTGATTTTGTGCAAGTTTTTTTTTTTTCAGAGAATTCAACGCGCGATGAATAATTTTCATTGTGTCCTCGTGTGTGATTGATTCGCCGTGTATACATGTATGTACAAACCGTAACCGGTTGTGCAAAATGATAAAACCAGAATCGCCGAAGTGGTCATGCGTGCATTTATGATCATCTTCGGACGACGTGAGGATCAGCCGCGGGCGATGTTAATCGCCGTTTTTTTTTCTCTCTCTCTCTCTCTCGCCGAAACCCGAGTTGCCACTCGAAGAGACTCTGATATTTGCTCCCCGCGTTTTATTTTGGTCAATTTGCAGAAGAGCTTTTACAGAATTTTACAGAACACACACACACACACACCGCGAAAGCATCAAACGTCCAAATTGCAGAAACTCGACCTATAAATCGTATCTCAAAATACTCGACGATGTTCATTCACGTATATTTTATCGAGAAAATTCCACAACCGCGATTGAGATTGCGTCGAAGGAAATTCATGAGGTTATTCGCGATAGCAATTAATCACGTTACAACTATCAGCAATTCCTATCGTTACATAGCAGCGACCTTGTGAAAGAAATCATTGAAAGAACATAATTGTGCATATTGCACGATACAAACGTACGGGTTTTTTTTTCCTCGTATATCTCCTCAATAAACAATCAAAAAAGAAAAAAAAAAAAAAAAA